GTTACCCATTTGCATGGTCATATCATATTCCATGCCGTGAAGATCAAAGTGATCCTCGTGTGGCTTGTCCATCCACGATGCTATTTGAAATCAGCTGAGTGATATGAGATGAATGGGAATGTACTTACAGTTGTCCATAGTGGGAGGATAAAAGTCTTGGTGCATGGAAACGGGTCGTGACATAGTCTCGCTGGGAGTTTGCTGGAATGAAACAGACGATGTGTCCCAGGATGGCACTGATGAGAAGTCCTCGGCGCCGCAGAAAGAAAGTCCTTGGTAGATTGGCATAGGTCGGGGCTTAGACTGGGTCACTGGTGTCGACCACATCTCATCCGAGCCCATCATGGACTCGTTCTCGGTGAAGTCGTTGTGGTTCATCTTGGTTGTAGGCGTTGGCCTGGATGACTATGGTTGTGAAGACTATCGCAGATAGTAGTGAAAGGGAGTGAAGTCTCAACGTTGATGTTGCTGTGAGCATCAATTGTAAGTATTGTGTGAATGGTTGAAAGGAATGACAAGAATCATGAAGCATACAGTAAGGTGTGACAAAAGCAGAACAGAAGAGCCCTGTCAAAGAGCGAACCGTTAAGCTAATATGTAGAGTCTATCTGACAAGGGCTAGGTAGTGTCAGCATGAATCCGTGATGGACGATCATGTTAAACGGGTTCAGGGTGCAAGGTCCACATCATCTCTGGATCTTCGGGAGTGCCGCGGAACATCTCTGGCTTACCTGGGTAACTAAGAAAGCAATGGCCAAGTCGAATGTGGGAGTAATTTCCGGTTTGGCAACATGCGCTGTAAGGAATGTGTTGTAAGGAACGAGTTGATTCGGAAGCAAGGCGGTTAGGGTATATCTGTAGTGCTATCGAGAGAAACAGGATCCCTTGAGCTGCTGGCAGCGGAGACGTGCAGAGAATGTATCGGTTGGTTGTTGGTGTAAATGAAAGTGGTATAGTTGGTGAGCCTTGTTCTTAAGGAGAGGATGTCTAGACCTGGATTTGGATAGCGGTGGGCAGAATCGTTGGATATTATACGATTTGATGATTTGCAAGTGTTTGTATTAAGGAAAGACTAGAAGAGAAGAGCAGATTTGCAGAAGAAGCGTGTGCAAGAGAGGATAGGTCGAAAGGGCGGAGCCGGAACCTGGAGGTATAAGAGTAGACGTGTATGAAGGGTAAGAGGCATCATCCATGGAGGCAAGGTAGCTCCGCAAGTCAGGGACGGTCACCAGGGGAGAGGTTTGGATAGACGGGAGGGGCTGGACCGAGTGGATTCCAGGACACAACACAGACCGATCTATGAACTGGTACAAGTGAAAGCGGATACATAGCAAAGGAAGGAGGGGGTTATCCGGTGCAAAACAGAGTCGCAGCGCTGCTGGGATGGGATGGGCCCTCGCAGGTTGCAACTACAGTAGTATGTTCGTCAATAGAGTCAAGGAAGTTGAGAAGCCTGTGGGGCGGCAAGACAGGGGCGTTGACAGGGATGTACATGACCCCGGACTAAGGATAATAAGGCCACAGCTTTCAGTCGACAAGGCTGGCGTGCATCTGCTAGCATATTTTAGTTGTTGAGGTGGGTGTAGAGAGCTGAAATGATGATGAGAGGCATCCGAGAGAATAACAAGTGGTGGAATAAAGGTCCTGTATAGTGTTGTCGATATCCCAAACAGAGACCAAGACAACCAAGAGTGGCGCAGGCTTCAAGAGTGTATCGTCAGGGGGCTCGATCGGGCCATTGGACCATCCAGTCGGGCTGCACAACAGCGACTCGATGGAGGTGGCTTGTCTCATCCTATGCTGAAGAAACAAGAGTTGACGGGGGATGTGTGGAAGGACGGGCGGGCTAGTGAGTCGACAAGATCGAGCCTCTCATTATGTCGACTCAAACTGAGCCACGTTAGACCAGTCTGGGGTTGACAAAACTTCCGACGACCATGGGCTATGGTTGCAGACACACCGCAGCTGTTTCTCGACACTGCTATAACTTGGTGCCTCACCCTCGGCCGCTCGATTTGACACGCCCATGAGGGTCGGCCGGCACGCCCCTCTAAAGACCCGGAAGAGGGACAATGTGCACCAGAGTCGAGACAGGCCAGGGTGATGTAGATGCGTGTGCTATTTTTCACAACAGTTGAAACCGCTAAAGCTCGGGTGTGGTGGCTGATGCGTAGGCTAATTGCTTGACGGGTGCCATGATCGAAAGATTTCAGGAACCGACCCGAATAGCTACGGGATCGCCTAGTCCACACCAAACCAAGTGCAAGTCTTTCAAAATCTTTTCGAATAACGACGACATGGCTTAATCATATCGTACATACGTCAACGACCCCATCCTCTGATCCCCCGCATGAGGTGCCGATATGACGAGATACACTGCTTTAGTCTCAATCGTACGGCGGTGAATCCGGCAGGGAGCTTATGAGAGTCTTTCATCATTGTATCGATTCGGCGGCGACCCGTGTAAGCGAAGCGGCGAAAACTCGAGGCAACAATGTCTGTGTGTATTCTGTGGGCGATAGGTCATCAGAAAACTTGTGGCTCAAGATGAAGACGAAGCAACGCCATTTTGCATCGCGGCGGCAGACGATGCGCCCTGAAATCTAGGCTTCAACCAGTCGATTGAGCAAGAAGGTGTGACATTCTAGTGGCAACAGACGAATCGGAAGCATACGTGACCTATAGCAGAAGTAATGTCTGGCGCTGATATAGACTGAGATATGAGCTATCCAATTTTGAGGCTCTTGCTTCCGTCTGGTCTTGCTTTCTCTTGGAGGGTATATCCGACTGAGACACTGCTGAAAGTATAGCGGCCCATCTGCTAGTTTCTGATCTGTTGGCTGCTGTCTGCTGCTGTAATCTGGTTCGAGATGCGCTGGAAGCCAGAGGTTGCAAGCGTGAGAAGACTACGACAAGCGTGTGTTTGAAGTTGTAAGAGGTGGGTCAGGAAAGAGCATATGATTTGCGAAGGAAGGAACAGGGGTCTAATTGATAAAGCGGGACGAGTCTCTTGTTCCTACCGTTTTGGCGTAGAGGCCGCTATTCTGAGCTTATGATTGGAAGAATGAGCCACGTCTCAGCTCTAAGCAGGGAGACCGGCGTGTCTCAGATCTGTCGCAAGACCAGGGAATATTAGACGAGGTCCACTGATACGTCGGAAGGTACCCACCCACTGATTTCCACTGAACCACCTATTTCGTGGCAGCGTGGCTCAACTGAGAGAGCGCTGGGAGATGGAAGCAAGCTCATTAATTAATTGCCCGAGCTTCCCCAGCCCGTAGCTAACGAAAGCCACAGCCAAATTAACTTACTCAGTTAGCAGCTGAATTCGGCGAAGACATGACCACATCAGCGCACGATCAAGGTCCAAGCACATCTGTAGGTAATATGTAGGTAGGTGAAGTTGAGCGGTGGGTGTTATTAATTGTTGTGGATCATCTGAGTCTATGAATAGCAGATGGCAGCTGGTTTTGCACAGACTGGCACAACACATTCTCTAACAACCGGTCCTTCCCAACTTTACTTTTACCAAATCGCTAAATCGCCAAATCGCCAGATCTCGATCTTCAGTGCTTTTTTCATCCGTTTTAGTCTATTCGCAGCTCAGCTTCCATCGCCAACTAACTAATTTGCTACACCTGAACACAGAACATCATTGCGATTCCTCCACTTTGGTACCTTCAACTTCGATTAAGAATCCTCCATTTATTGTTCATATCCATAATCATCTCTCCAACACTCAGCAAGTGCCGGATCCTCCTTAGGGGTCAGGGAAGAGCCCAGTTGACACTGTTACATCGCTTGTGTGGGCAATCTACATACTGAGTGTATTGTATTGGCTTCTTGTTCTCTCATCATTCCACCTCGTCTCGTCTCCATACAGCCCCATTCGCCTAATTCGCTCATGTTGTGTATAAGTATAGATGTGTAATTCATTATCAAAGTGCAACGCGTCATCTGATAGCGTCTTTTATGACGACGAGTTTCCTCTAGGTTCCCTGTCACTGTGTGCCTCTGTCTCTCACTCTTTCTCTCTGTGTTATGCCTGTGCCTGACGCTAAATATGTCCGTGTTTTTTCGTTTCTATGCTATTATGTATGTGCTCGCCCTCTCCACCTTTGAGCACGGTGAATTCTGCCAGCCAGCTGGGTTGAGCCCAACAGCTTGGTACGTTGGGATGAAAATTGAGGCTGTCAGATCACTATTCAGCAGACTAAAAGATTAAATTCGTTTTGCATGAAGACTTAAAGAGGTGCCAATGCTCAAAAGATTGTTGAAGATCGTGATCTTCCTTGATTATCTTGGCTGATTTGCGTGCTGCAACCTGACCTGCGTGCGGCCTTGATCACGCCGAGGAAGGCTAGTATCACGCTCGTGCATTTCCACTTCGAGAGAGGAAAAGCCCGTCCGGTTCGTTCGAAACTGGACAGGAAGTTGCAGGGACCTGGGATTATCTTCTACGTGCCTTCTACGGTCCTTCGATGGGTCGCCAGCGCCCGGTAAGGCCGTATGTTGGCCAGGGTCTAAGACGTCCAATGGTCCGTTCCTGAAGCACTGCTAGAATGGGAAATTAAACCACCGCCTTTTTGGGTGAGAGCATGAATCAGGCCTTGTCGTCTTGCACCAAAACGAACGTCACGAACCAATGATGACACCACATTTCCCCCGCAATGAACTCTCTTTATCAGTTTTCATTCTTTTGCTACGTTACTCGTAAACATTGTTATCAATATCCGGGCATCCTTGACGACTTCTCAAAGCTGTTTTATCTGCATGTCGATATCTGCCGCATCTGTTTCTGTTTCCGTACTCTCCCCGGTGCTTCTGGAAATAGAACAGCAGAAACGTTGCTTCAATGGGTCTGATCCCCTTAAAACATTAATGTATTTAACGCAACTCTCGTAGAAACGTGAACATATGATCCTATCCCAGTCGTAGCCTTATCATGCCGAGCCATTCTTCCCTACCCTGGCCTGCGCTCTTTAACTTTTACCAAGTCACTAGTCCTTGTTGATTCGCTTCCACACTTCATTCTCAGCTGCAGCAAGGCTCTCGCCAGCGGCTGAAGCCCACTTCTTGGCGGCCGACCAGACTCCCTCCCCCTCATCATCGCCTATCAGTGATGGCCTGCGTTCCTGTGCTACTGAAGCCTCATGTGCAGCCCGCTGTGAGCTGGTAAACTCAGATGCGTGCACGTTCTGGTGATAGCCTGGTGGGTGAGAAAAATCGCTACCGCCGGTTCCGCCCAGCACGGCCGTTGGGCCCGGGCCAGCCATCGGTGACGGGCCAGGCGCTGTTACCGTTGAAGAACGAGGTGCGGTGAACTCCGAACCGCTAGATACAGGAGCGTAGGACATCTGAGGAGGCATTTGTGTAGGCTGCGTGTGGACATCACTTAACGTCTCTCCAGTCTTTGGAGGCGGTGGAAGGTAAGATCCGCTTGGTGGTTCCGGTACTGCTCCCGGCTGCGGAGCTGGAGGGCTAGAGTCTAGTGCGCTCCGAGTCGGTGTCGGCTGGATGGATGCGGAAGCTTGCGGTGCTCCGGTTGGAGCTGGCATGGACGGGCGGGCTCCAGGTTGAGCTGCCGGGTAAGTGGAAGTGGCAGTGGCAGTTGTAGTAGGCACTTCATTGCTCGCTGGTTGATTAGAAGGTGTTCCTTCATCGTCCGATGAAGCTGTTTTTGGAGTGACTCCTGATGGCTTTGCTGCCACAATTGGGCTTGCGGTATGAATGGTAATGGGAGGCATGTCAGCGGTATCTAGAGCTGTCGTGTGCAAGTAGTGATATGTATTGAAGGGTCTTTTGTGATTTGAGAAGTTGTGTGTTTCTAGTGGGTTTCCTTTGAGCTATTGGTGCTTAAAAGACAGAACCAGGGAAACTGAAACTCTGATTGTGATGAGGTGTTGTTTGAACAAAGAGCGTGGCGATGGCTGCCAACTACGTCATGTGATCTCAATTGCTTCGGTGCCTACATTAGCACGCGGTTACCTGCAGTCTGCGGGGAACTGTCGATCAGATTCCGTCAACAGCTTCAGGACCTTCAACTGATTATTTCCAAATGCGGAGTGCGAGAATTATTTCTTGATCAAAAGGCATGCTCTTGATTCAGGTACACCGTAAGTGACGTAAGAAGCTACCAGCTATGACAACTACCCTGAAGCTCTCTTGCTGGGCATCTCAATATCATACATGCAACACACTGTCTTTTGCCCTTAGAAAAGGAATATATATAATATGTGTTGCCGTGGCAGTGATTAGCAGTCCGTAAATGGGACAGTCATGCGATACTCTAAACTCGAAGGGCAACGCCAAGGAGGCTTATCATTGAATAAAGTTGAACCCTTAAACTTTATATAATACCAGCTTCCTGGTCGGGTAGGGACGTGAACTGAGTATACTTGCTAAGTTCAGTATGCCCATTCGTTAGTGCAGAAGACTATTTCAATATGGATTCACAGTCTGGTCTGACTCACTGAGCTCGGCAAATAGGGTAGATGGGCATTCCAGATCGGATCACTTGTACTGGGCATTCTGTAGTATACCTAAGAAGATTCAGAGTTACCACATACCACATCAAAGATGTCATTACATCACTGGGAGTCTATATAGAACATGTAAACTGAAGATATGAACATCACACCCAGGAATGGATATCCCTATCCGTGTCCTCCGGCCAAGCTCTACTCCATAACCAAGCACTCAAACTTTCTAAGCTGTTGCTGATTTATACGGACAGCCCGCAAATGCTCTTTCTTTCACACGCTTCTCGAAGTCATTGGTCTCCTCAATGCCCTTACCAACAACCTTCTCAGGACCAATGTCCTCAAAGAGGAATCCTTCAGACTTCATCTGAGGGCCACCATCACCAGGAAGGAGACCACCAGCCAGCCATGTAATGCAAGCCTCAGGGTTCCAGCGCTGCCAGAAAGTAGCAGGAACGTAGTAAGGCTCCTTCATATAATGGCGAGTAGTGATGCGACCTGTCTGTTCATCTGGTTGGGAGAGGTGCTCCACGCCACTGACACGAGGGAGACAGAGGAACCGGACGACAAGTTTACGAATAAGTAGGAGACCGTATGTCAAGACAGTAATGGCCAAACCTGGTTCCGGGAAGCTATTCACATGTCAGTATGCTCGAGCCGGGATAGTTAAAGGCGTGAACTTACCCAAATGCACGTCTCAACCGAGGTCCCATGAGTACGCAAGCTGCTGGGTTTCCGATTGGAGCGGCAAACCTAGGATACGAGTCCAACAGCAATTCCATCAGGACGTCACCAAGCTTCTGAACCTCTTTCGTAGGGCGCAGGTACTTGTCCTCGTAGTCTTCTCCGAATCGCGAGACATCCTCCAAGAACTCAATGCCATCAGTCCACTCGCTCTTCTGGAGGATAGTCTTGTAGTCGATATCCATCAAATCGGCGACGTATTTCCACAGAGTTGAGATGGCAGCCACTTCCATATCGGTTGGAGCACGCCACTCATACTGAGTAAGGAATCTAACGGGCTCGGCAAAAGAGGCGTACAGAACGTAGAGGAGATCCTCTTGCTTGATCTTGCCGGCCTTGATGTATGGTGCGTGTAGAAAGTTTGTGCGAGCAACTGCCTTATGAAGAACTGACGATGTAGGGGCAAAGTTTGCAAAGCTGTGTATGTTAGTCAGTTTACCGCAGCAATGAACAGAATCAGATGAGCTTACCAAAGATAGACGACCTCAGTGTCTGCATATCTGTGAAGTATATGAGTATGCAGGCATATAAGACAAAAGGTGGACAACTGTACCTCTTGGGTGCTTTCATACGGTTGGCCAGATCACTACCACCATAAAGAACATGGCCGACATTTTGCACAGCATAAGTCTATTCAGGTCGTTAACATGGAACTTGTATGAACCTGGCCTCAGTTGATTTAACATACTTCGAATAGAGCGAGACGGGTACCAAGATCGTAGAAGAGCGGAAATTCGAGGTTTGCCATAACCTTGACAATTTCGAAAGCATTCTGGTTTGTCATTCGACCTAAAGAAGCACGATCATGGAACCCAAACTTGGAACGAAGCGAGTTCACACGAGAAAATCGCACAAGAGAGCAAAGAGCAACATAGCCGATGAATATACCCAAGAGAACAGGACCCGAGATAGAGGTCGGCGCAAAGCTGGTAAGTAAGTCTGAGTGAAAGCCCGCTGACGACGAGCTATTCAAGCCAGGCTCAGAAACAGACATGTGAGCATCCATAGTGGCGATAACTCTACCAGTCGCTCTCTGGATGAGGGGAAAACAACTTGACGAGCAAAAGTGAGGTAGGATTGTCTACAGTAAAGGATCGGAATGTACTACCATATTTATGGAACACCCTTGTAAAGATAGCAAAGGCCACTGCTACCTGCACGGCGTTCAACCCAAGTCGGGCATGTCTTGAACGTGCCACTAATACCACTAGGTGATGACGCGCCTCCACAAAGCCTATCAAATGACAGACATTGGCAATGATCATCGTCGTACAAAAAGTGCAGATATCGTGGATATAGTGTATTAGTGTTTTCGACGGCGTCTTACAGCTTTCATTGGCCGCTTATGGCTGCGGGATTCTATGCTGACAACAGGCATGTATATAAGGAAATACGAAAAATCTCACTCATGTACAGATAGAAAACCCCACTCATATTTGCTGGACACAGGGTCCTCGACGTTTAAGCACAAGCGAAGGAGGTAGGTTACTCGTTGACCGTCCAATGGTAATGTACCGAATACTGGGGATGGATAACTAGAAAGTTGGCCGAATATTAGACATTTTTTATTATAGAGAGCTTACAGTATGTGACTATTTTAGTGATGACCTTCGGCTTTATATGTAAGCTTTTAGACTGTTGCTATGACCAGTGCAATGGGATGTGCTCTTATGGTGAAGATGCTTTTCACCGACTCTTAACAACGAACAGTATGCAAGAAAAGAAGCTTCTTTCAGTGGATGTACATGCCTTCTTGGCCTTCCAGTACCAGGGTGCTGGGTGTCGCTTCTGTGTATCCGTATCCGCAGGAATAGCCTATGGAGAAGCAGATGGATGCCAGTTGATCCCAGGTATTTCGGGTTATCAAAAGTCCGGCGATAACCGCACTAAGCCTAATTCACTGCCGCGATCAAGACAATCAACGGATCGGATGCGCTCCAGGTGTTTTCGAAGGTTGAGCTTGAGCGCGCTGCAAGCTTCTTCACAACTTCACAATCAATGTGAGCTTGCTGAGCCTTATCCACCCTGCATCATCACAAAACATAAGGCCAATCCATCAATATGGTTGGAAAAGTCAGCGAAAGGGTCCTCCTTCGGGAAGGTATAGTTCATCATTGCTTGTCCCTGAAGCAAACTGGGCTGTTGCTCATGACAGATTGCTAACAAGATTGTTCCAGGCCTAGAGAGGACTGACAATGGCATGAAGCTGACACAATGGCCTGATGTAACTCCCATCAATCAGAAGAACTACTATACGTACGACTACCCCTTCTCATACGCGACCGACCCTTACTGATGATTTGGTAGAGATTACATGAAGCGCGATGACCAAGTTCTTGCCCTTCGTCTTCAAAGCGATGCGACACGCGATCGACTAGTACAGAACGCCCGCGACCGAGACCGCGTTCTATCCAAGACTGCCAATGGTGAACTTCCGCTCCCTGTCGCAGATCTACCCGACGAAGATGGCGCCGCGACACCATCGGCTGGCATAGACCCCTCCAAAATCATTGTGATTCACCCTGGTAGCCAGAACCTTCGCATAGGCTTTGCGAGCGATGCGCTCCCCAAAACGATTCCCATGACCTTAGCGACAAAGTTCCCCCAAACCGAATCCGAAATGTACGAGGCCCTCCCGCGACGACAGTTCGAGGCCAAGACCGTTGATCAGCAATATGGCGAAGAGTGGTCAAAGAAGTACAACAAGATGTGTAGTGACCTTAAAGTCGAGATGCGAGCCAACAAGCGCAAGGTCTTGCCCAATTCGAAAGAGCTTGTTCAGACATTCAATCGCCGTACAGAACCGGAAATTATCCAGAAGCACAACGACCCGCTTGAGATTGAATGGACCGATATCGAAACACTTGAAGACCCTGAATCTTTAGCTTCGTGCTTCATCGGACACCAGGCTGAGCGTGTCCCCGACGACTCGAACCCCAAATTCAAGCTCTGGTGGCCGATGCAGCTTGGGCAATGGAACGAGGATGGATACACAAGCCAGGAACACATGTTTGACGACTTCGAGACCTTGCTCGACCGGGCGTTGAGACAGGATCTTGGCTTGAAGAAGAACAGCGAATGGCAACAGTACAGTTGCGTCTTCGTCATTCCCGATTTATACGACAAGAAATATGTCGAGCAAATCTTACGATCTTGCATGACATGGTTCGAATTCTCTAAAGTCTGCTTTGTCCAGGAGGGCATGGCCGCGACATTTGGTGCTGGATACACGCAAGCCTGCGTTGTTGATGTGGGAGCCCAGAAGACATCCGTCACCTGTGTGGAAGATGGCCTTGTCATGGAAGATTCCAGGATCAACCTCAAATATGGAGGTTATGATATTACTGACACCTTCCTCAAGATGATGCTTTACGACAACTTCCCTTACCAGGACATGAACTTGCGACGACGATACGATTTCCTTCTTGCCGAAGAGCTCAAGATTAAGCACTGCACCATGTCACAAGCAGATATTTCTGTCCAGCTCTACCAGTTTCACGTTCGTGCACCTAACGAGCCAACACGGAAATACCAGTTCAAGACATATGACGAAGTTATCTTGGCACCGATGGGAGTGTACGATCCCGCCATCTTCGACAACAGCACCAAGTTGAGGGGACGACGCAAGTTGGTTGAGCGATCTTATAACGCCTATGATGTCGATATTCCCGATGACCCTACCTCTGCAGCTCAACTAGCTATCCTCGCCCTCGTCCAGCCATCGATAACATCCAACGTCAACGGATTTGCGCAGTCGCAGGCCGATGTTTCAACGCCTATGAAGGAGAAGGGCCCATTCTTGTTTGGAAAGGACGGCCCCGCGAACGGAACCCCCATGGGCTCTCATGCTGGATCTCCCGCTCCAGAGGGTGTTAACACACCGGCTCCCCCATTTATTTTTGGCGCAAAGGATAAGGACGGCGTCAACGGAGGTAGCCCGGCCCCTAATGGGGGAACTCCAGTTCCTGGAACAACGCAACCACCTGCAGGCATGTTTGTCGATGCCGCTGCCCGCACCGCCAAGTCCATCGCTATCGAACAAGATGCCGTCCTACCAGTTGCCCCTCTCGATATCGCTATTCTCACAAGTATTCAGAACGCCGCTAAGAACGATGAGAAGAAGTTGAGAGATCTGCTGGGAAGTATCATGGTTATCGGCGGTGGTGCCAAGATTCCTCACTTCACAGTGGTGTTGGAAGAAAAGATCAAGGCCCGACGACCTGACCTCAACGATAGAATTCTTGTCAGTCGAAGCGCAAGAGACATGGACGAGCAAGTGGTCACCTGGAAGGGTGCCAGCGTCTTTGCTAAACTGTCTACCAACGACTCATGGATCACCCCCTTCGAGTTTGAGAGATTGGGCTCCAGGACTCTTCACCACAAGGTGCTCTGGGCCTGGTAACTGAAAGCGAGCTGTTCTAGGACAGGTCTGGGTTAATGGAGTTCTGGTAACGGCACGGAGTCTGGATTCACTTGTACTGTCTTCACTGAATGGATAAATATAGCATGGAGCAAGTTTTGAAGGTAGCCTTAGGTAGATATGCGTTACTAGACTGGGACGAAAAGCCACTAGAAACATGTTTCTTGGTCACTATGAATTAAAGTTGATACTGTACTGTAGCTGTAGCTGTGTAGTTAGCGAATCGTAGGTGATCTATGGTGTAACCGCCTCCAACAACATTTTGTGAAAGCTTGATAACTAAGCTGAATCAACACACTATCACCAGCTGCAAACTTGGGTGATTCCAAGACATCCATGATTTCATTGACATCCATCCAATCTTGCGATTGCTTCAAGGGCGATATCGGGTGCAGACATGATGCATCCAGTCCAGCTTATGTAATGGCCCCGTCATTTCTTAAAATTCCCGACATCCGAGCTTCCCTTCATGGAAAGCTTGAGCTGGACGTGGAGCTGGAGCTTAATGTTAGCCCGTTCACACTCCCCGGTCAGGTCAGGTCACCCATTTGCTTAGTGCTATTATTGTTTAGCATCATCGCGCTTAGCACCACTACGTCAACACTTCGCGCGCCCTGGATTCTCTGCAATGTGATGCACTCTTCACGTCTGAACTATCTCACCATTTTTTGCAATCCTTATCTCTGACCGAACCGATTCGACCGGAAAATAATCAACGGCCCGCCATGCTGCTACGACATCTTCCCTTTGCGTCGTCAACGACGCCTCTCCAGGCACTGACGTACCTCCTCGGCATCTCCCTCTTCTCCATCTCATTTCTTGTCTTCCTAAACAGCTCTGTTTCTTTTGTTATTACCGATTTGATTGGGCAGAAGGAAGGCGTTGGCGATGTTGTAGGAACGCTCGGCTTCGTGGATGAGCTTGTTGCGCTTGTCGCCTGTCCCGGATGGGGTCTTGTGTCGGATCGTCTGGGTGTAAGATGGGTTGCTGTTATTGGATATGCAACAATCGGACTTTCGTTGGCTTTGTTTGTACAGGCGACGAATGTGTATCCTCAGTTATTGCTGGCTCGCGTGTTATTCGCAGTCGGCGCATCCGCAACGTAAGTCAGACAGATATAATACCCATGGATGAGTGGTGCTAATTGTGTGGAAGGGCGACTATGGTCACTGCTATTTTACCGTCTTTGACTGATGACAGTAACGATGAGGAGGATGAAGCCCGAGCTAGAATCAAGGCGCTTCAGAATGCGACTGCTCGCAACAGCATCGCCTACTCTGTCGAATCCGAGTCAACTATCACCCAGGAGCGATACACCCAGTCTGTATCTGAACCGAGCATAAAAGGCCCATCTGATGCTGCGGCTGGAAGACCATCGAAACTAGCAGGCTTCGTCGGACTCTTCACTGGATGTGGTGCTCTCGTCGCCTTGACAATGTTCCTCCCACTCCCCGCCAAATTTGGCGAGGACGAGGATACAACACCTGCTGAAGCTGTGTCTTATAGTTTCTATGTCGTCGCTGTTGTCGCATTTGCTGTGTCTTTGTTTGTCGCTATCGGTCTTCGTAACATCAAGGGTGAGGAAGGCAAGGGCTTTAGAGTTCTTCTTGGACTCAAGAATGAGAATGAATCTGCTTCGGGGTCTGATGGAAATGGCCGACAAAGGGTAAGTTAAACACACTTGAATATTGTGCGCTGTTGCTAACATGGTACAGAAGCTGGCGCCCTATCTAAATCTCATGAAGGATTCAGTATTCCTTGGTTTTGTCGACTCACGAATCGGTCTCGGATACGTCGGCGGCTTTGTCGCTCGAGCCTCAAGTGTTGCGATTTCGCTTTTCATCCCTCTCTTTGTCAACACATTCTACATCAGCAACGGTTTCTGCAAAGGCTCGCCTCACGACCCATCGCCCGAGCTCAAGGAGGAGTGCAGAGCAGCTTATATCCTGTCTTCCATCTTGACTGGCGTCGCGCAACTCATGGGTCTTATTTGCGCACCGATTTTTGGATATCTCGCCAGTCGACCTGGCCGTATCAACTACCCCATCGTCGTCTCGACCGTTTTCGGCATCGTGGGCTACGTTATCCTGCCACAACTCGCCAGCCCTGAGATCAAGGATGTAGACGGCCGGGGTGGTAGCCCTGCCATCTTCTTGGTCGTCTCTCTCCTCGGCATCAGTCAAATCGGTGCTATCGTCTGCAGTCTTGGATCTCTCGGTCGCGGTGTTCTTGCAGTCGAGCTGCCTCGCGCAGCGCGCCCGGAAAGCCTCCTACAGCCCGAAGACTACGAATCTGCAAATGACGAGAATCGACCTCTTATTAGCATCACAACAGACCAAGAGTCGGTTTCGCGTATCCGTCTTAAGGGCTCTATCGCCGGTGTCTACTCGCTGTATGGCGGGTTTGCCATTTTGCTACTCACAAAGTTGGGAGGATACCTGTTTGACACGCTCTCGAATGGTGCCCCTTTCTACATGATGGCCATTTTTAATGCTGTCTTGCTTGCGTTTTCTCTTGGAATGGATGCTTCGCGTGCGTACTCGCATCATGCGTAAGATAGTTTTAGTCGTGTATTTAGTATTGTAACTCTAAACGAATGAATAAAAAGCGATTTCCCTTTTCTTTAATCAAGTGTCTCAAAAGCGGGTTGTCTAGGAGTACATCTCACTTTGTCTTTTGCGGCAGCTTTCCAAGTAAAAGAAAAAGGAAACAAGAAAGAAGTCCATAACATACACAGTATCGATACTATGTTAGAACTACTACAAGGTGCATTGTCGATTAGTCTCGCCGGGGTCTTAGCAATGTAATGTCGACTTTGAGCTCGAATTGTCCTTTGACCCAGGAACCGCCAACCATGGACTTTTTGTTGCAACATCTAATAATACTACGAATACTCATTTCACTTACGATTCAGAGAAAACTTGAATGAGGTGTGTAATGCTTCTTGGGAATCTAAACAGTATAGGCTACGATACTCATCCAGCGGTTATCCAAACATTTACTCACCCCAAGGGGGGCACTTAACCCACAACCATTTGAGGCTCAGGGTGTAATACACGGAAGGTGTGATCGCGAGGATTGCGTTTATCCAAGTTCAAGAACTCTCTGATGTCCCTCTCTCTTTTTTGTTGAGCCTCCTCAGCCTCATCGGGTCGGAAAGCGTTCTTGAGATTCTTGCCCATGTCCTTGAGATCATCGTACATTTCGTGGCACCAGTTCTTCATGTGATAGCAACAGTTTCCCTTGGGGCGAACCTTCAACGGATCCAATGATAGGGGAGACTGGTCTCGGTGGCCTCGGAGTCGGGAGTTACCTTTAGTATCCATGGTGGATGGTTATAATGGGTGCAAGACTACGGATGGATAGAGTGGAGGGGGATGTAAAGTGGTTGTAAAGCAAGTCTAGGTGATAGTTGGGCTAGCAAAAGTATACCAAAAGAGCACTTAGCTGTTTGTGGGATGAAGAGAGAAAAAAAGGAGTACTCTGAGGGAATAGTAAAGGGGGAATTTATACTTTTCCAAAAAAGATGCCAATGCTATTTGCTCTGGACTGTTCAGAGAAATAATTTGACTGTTCAGGCTCAGTCTGAACAAGCTCTGGCACTGCTGTGGTCGCAAAAAGGTCACGGGATAGCCATCGTTGGGAAAAGGGGCTGGGGAGCCAGAGGCCTCGTGCAGCAATCCTGAGCGCTGGAGGACCGCGATAAGTTGAATATACGCTCATTTTGATGCTTCAAATTGTGTGAACTGTAGAATATGAGGTTTGAAAGCTATAACAATGTAGCTGTGGCTTCGAATAGATGCATAATGCAGCCACGCTGACTTGAGCCAACAGGTGCAGGATATTACCTAACCATGAGCCACAGCAGCCAGGGTAAAACAGTCCAGACTACTCAGACCGTTCTTTGAAAGCTTCTAAAGAACATACATGTTGTTAGAGGTTCATCAGGTTGTGTTTCGTTAAAAGACTGCAAAGACTGCTTTGTATGGCGAACGTACGGATGGTTGAAGGGATACCCCTGAATCGTCCTTTCAGCATAAAGTATTTGGACTTCAGAACAGTCTCACGAGCTCACAGACTCAACGGAAGTGTTTTCTGGTATTATAGGATGTACTTGTGGCTCATAATTCTGTAGTTGTGTAATCCTGGTAAAGTGGCTATTTCGTCACATATAATATTTCCCTAGCATATTTTGGGCTGGGAGATTGAACTTTAGGCGTTTGAGCCACTAGAACACTAGAACAAAGAGATTTACCAGTTTACAGGACGCCTCCAGGTTTATTCGTGATAAAATAATAGAGTGACGCTCCCAAGACCCTGGCGGGAGGGACGGCTAGCAGCACGGCGACAGCAACCCAACTTGAGTTTTACATATACAGCCGGAGACAATAAATCAAATTAGAATACGAGTGCTAATAACGACGAGAGGACGCAAGTTCGTCTGTGTTTTTGTTTCGATGTTGGCAAAGGCTAGTCTCAGTTCATGGTATTCATCTCGACTGACATCACACAAGGGACAACAAAGATATAAGAGCATTTCAATTGAATTTTGTACGGAAACCTTTGAGAAGACCTATAGGACAGAAATACTTCTGAGTGCAGCAGAGCTAGTGAGAAATGAGCTCAAATCCTCCCTATATCACGCAGCACTTTCCCTGAGCGGGGACATGATGAATCCAGCACAGGGCAAAAACCAATGGTCAACTAATTTTTTTTCATTTCAACCTGTCGAAAACAACGAATATGACATCTCCCCCCTTCTTATATCGTGACGAGGAAAAAAGGAAAAAGGGAGGCTGTGGACATGACGTTGACCCGTGAATGCGATGAGACGTTGCAAACAAGGGGCTTTATAGGCGCGCTCTGGTGAGAGACGGGCAGGCGATGGGCCGGGCAATCTAGTTGCCGCCGAGGCTGGGGAAAGCAGACTGGTCGTTGGTGTTGATAGCAGCGTTGCCCTTAGCAGCTCCTTGAGGAGCGCCGCCGCGACCACCGCGGTTACCACCACGGCCACCACGGCCGCCACGGCCTCCGCGAGCACCACCACGGGTGCGCTCGGGCTCGACGAAGCGGGGGTCGAAGTCGACGGTCTGCTTGACCTTGCGCTCTCGCTGGCGCTGAGCCTTGCCTCCGGTAGCGGCGAAGTACTCCTCCTCCTCGTTCTCGAGGGGCTTGGCGTTGGCCCACTTCTTGTCGAGCTTGCTGCCCTCGTTGGCCTCACGGACCTTGGGGCCAGACTCAAGAGCGGCCTTCTTCTCAGCCTGCTGGGCGAGGTAGTCTTCGTAGGAGATTTGCTTCTCGGCCTCCTCCTCGGCGGCGGCCTCAGCGGCAGCAGCCTCCTCAGCAGCGGCGTCCTTCTGCTCGTCCTTAGCGATAGCCTCGCCGGCCTGCTCATCCTTAAGCTCAGCCTGGCCTTCGTTAGCACCCCAGGACTGGGCAGCCTGCTTGTCGGAGCCACTAGAGTTCAGTCAGTATGTGGGAACACACGGCAAGATTGGAGTAAAGCATACCCGTGACCACCGAACTTAGAGGGGTGTCGGTCGTCTCGCTCATGGGCGCGTCTAGCACCACGGCCACCACGGACACGGGCACCAGCACCGCCTCGGGCGCCATCACGGGGAGTCTCCTCAGTGGATCGGCCCTGGTTGCGTCTAGCACCAGCACCACGATCCTGGAAAGCTACCCAGGAATCAGCATTTAGATCTTGAACCGACATCCAAGGCACAAAACTCACCACCCTCGTTACCACCGGGGCCACGGCGGTTTCCTCCGGCACCAGCGGCCCTTACGGGAGCTTGGGGCTCGACATTGCGCTTAGTAGTGCGAGCAGTGTTCTTGTCAACGGTCTTGACAGGAACGACGGGCTTCTCCTCGCCGTCACTGTCGTTGCCTGTACGGTAGTCGCTATGTCAGCACGAGTGATCGTAATTGAGTTTGAATCAGAGTTGGGCAGCATCGAGAAGTCGATCTAGCTGATTGATTTTTTCTTCTTTTTCTCGCGGGGAAAGCGGGGATGTGAGGAATCGTACCGAGGTAGGCAAAAGGGTTCTGGTAGTAAAGTTAGCATTGCTGTATGCGTAGCTGGCGATTATAGCATTGTGCTTGTTTTTGCCGTGAGGGGATGTTGTCGTGGTAGGTTAGGGCAAGCAACCTGGGCGATGACGAGTAACAGGAATGAGGGGCTGGTTTTGTGATCGCGGACAAGAGGGAAGAGGTTTGGGAGAGGGAAGTGACGGCAGGGAATAGAAGCGTATAGGGATGAGAAAGATAATGCGATCACTGAAGCCGTTAAGAGCGAGTGTCTCAATAGACTTGACTCTGTTTAACGGCGTTGTGAAGCAAAATTCCCATTCCCAACTCTGCGCAGCCCAAACACCAATTCCACCTGGGACCTGCACTGAACCGCAGCGCAGAAGCAAACACCAAAAAAAGAAGAACCAAGCACAAGGTCGAGTCGAGTCGAATCGAGTCTCGATAGCTAAAGAAATGGTGTTTCGTACCTTTGTGACAACCGACATCTTGGGTCGTCGCCTTGGGCTAATCGCCTTCCGTCCGGGGCGTTAATTCAAATTGAGGGCGACGAAGAGTGGTCTACGGTCGCATGACCTTGTAAGAGGAAGAGCTTTGGGTGGTTTTTCTGCCTGGTAGAGGGGAGACGGGAGAGGGCAGAACGGAACGGAAGCAGAAGGGAAAGGTAAGGTAAATTGTTACGTTAGGTTAGGACTAGGTCAGGTCAGGTCCGAGTGGAGAGGAGGTATTAGGTATTAGGTATTTCCTGGCTGAACTGGAATCAAAGTCACTGGACTGCTAACGACCTAAGGTTCTGATCTGAGGTGGTATTTTTTTCCCCGGTTTGGTGTGACTTGTAGACCTAATTCTTGCCCACGCCCAATGAACATTTCCAATTACATCTGCTATCTTCTCTCTTTTACTGCTTCTCTCACCAACTCAATTGCTTCCATCAAGCGGGTAGGTACTTATTTACAAGGTACTGTGCTGGGCGTTTACAGCGCACAACCAACTGCTACTGGCCGCTGTGGGACACTCAAGAAACTCTGACGCAGCTGACGCTAGAAATGGGAACCCAGTCCTCGCTTAAAGCCATTTCCTGCAGCTGATATAATTGAATTTTGGTATTTTGTCTCAATTTTGTGAGTGGAATCTCTTTTAGTTAGGGCATGGGATGAAGTGCCAGGGAACATGAAAAAAGAGGAGCTGAGCAAGACTAGACCTAGCAGAGACGAATTGACCCCGCGGTTCCATCCATGTTTTGAGAGAGCTCCAGTCCAAACCTCATGACGAAATCAGATAATACAGCTACGTGTAAATCAGATCGTAATAGACAAGAGTCACCAGCCATTGATATTACCAATAAATAGCCGCCGCAAACTCAAAAACAGAATAACAACAAATGTACCTTGGCTCACGGGAGTTCAATCCCTCATCGTATCCCTCAACTCAACTTACCTGCCATCTTTTTATCGTTTACCCCGCCAGAGCTTAGCTAGGGCACGTTTGGCTGGTGGAATTCTCCATCTCATTCCCCTCCAACGTCACCATCTCAGGCTTTGACGATCATCGTGCCGTCGTCGCCAGAGTCAAATTACTAAACTCGCTGTCAGTTGGCAGTTGAATCTCGTTCAAAACGTATATCACTGCTTAAAGCAACGTCTAAATACCAATCTCAATTGCATTCCATGAATCTCTTCTACACAAGCTCCATTGCTCAGTACTGGCTTAGACCTCGCTTGGCTCTGTGCCTCGGCCGTCCGCTTCCGGTACCGAACCGATTTGCATGCTCTCATAACTACGTACCTCTCAGGAACTGTCCTGATGATCATGATGATGGTTTCGACCTTCTCATTGGCTTGTCCAACTAAAATCGCTCTCTTTACTCGATCGATCAAAGAGCCTCCCTTCTCCCACGATGTTCGCATTGTTTACTCTAGAGGCACTAGTCGAATGTCTGGATTAGTAAACCTAAATTTGAAGCTATCACAAGAATACCACTCCTCGTTTACAAAACACATCAGTAGCATGTCTGCATAGGTAGGTACCAGGGTGTTAATAACATACTGCCGTGTAGTATCCATCTACCTTCCCGTAAAGAGCCGTCTCAGCTCAGTTCCAACTTTGCCCCAATCACTTCCCTCAGATTCTCCAAGTCTCGGCCTTTGCAGGCCTTCTTCGCTCACACTCGCTGCCACCCTTCTCAACTTTCTTACTCCCTGGTTCTGTACTGGTCCTGTCATCACAGGCTGGTAGCGGTCCAGATACTCTGACGATCGCGGTGCGGCATGAACCATCCGTTGCGATTGTGACGTGAGCTGCGAGGACAGAGGGCTGACCGTTCTGATTGTTGACAACGGAAGCGGGTAGGGTGTTCGCAGTGCCTGGTCTGGGTACTCAGGGGGCGTTCGATATACTGAAGTGTTGGCTTCCGAACGATTCATGTCTGAGCTACGGGCAGGGGCAAGTCGAGATGAAGGCCGTTTCAGGGGCTCCTCTCTGACCCAGCTGACCGCTTGTTTGTGTAACAATTCGGAAAGCTCACTGTCTTTGCTATAGTTCTTAGGGGATTCGAGAGCCGGTCTTATATCGTAATCACGAGGTGGCATTGGGGATCGAGAGGCTGTAAGTACAGCTGGAGATGGCGACTGTCGCGCACTCTGAGGGTTCAATATCGGGCTCTCTGAAAGTGATCGCGAAGGACAGGCTGAACCCGGAGCTGAACGAGGCTTTCGTAGGGGTGGGGGAGTTTGTAGATGTGTGTCGATAGTAGGTACTCTGCGGCGCGGTTCGTGTTTAGGACTGGCCGATCGTTGCATGAAGAGAGGTATCGGCTTCAGAGGGCTCGGTTTGAAAGATGGTCCATTGATAGGATCGAAAATGTCGACCCAGATGACTGATTTCGAAGTATCTCGGAAGTTGCTAGAAGAGTTGCTGGCCATGCCTTCATCACCTGCGACTCCATCGCCAGTGCGTTGAATAGACGGTTGCCATGTGGATGGATACTGAGACCTGTAAGTCAAGCTCTGTGTTGAACGACAACGCATCTTACCTTTGAGTTGCTCTTATTGTGGTTGGCCTCCCATCTCTTCCTCGTCAGTCCACCGTCCACTTTCTCAACTCGCCTTAGGCCTCTTCTTACAGCCACACTCTCTTCTTTTACTCCATCTATTTCGACCTCGACCACACAAGGAGCGCAAAGCGGTACTTCGTTCACTTCCTTCCCTCCACATCCGTCTCTTCCACTCTCTTCTGGCTCCTCATCCTGGAAGAGCTCCTTTACTCGCACCCCCTGGTAGATAGCTCTGCTCCCATATAGCAAACATCCGTAGCAAGCCCGGTGCCAGAAGCACCAGCCAAAACTGACACACTCGTCACCTCGGAAGATCAGCTCGCCGCAGACCCAACAAATGGCAAGATTGAGAAGCGCGGCGTGACAGGCTGTGCAGGCGAGGCGTGCAGAGCGCCCGATGATCTGGGGCGGGCCTTGAGAAACGTGAAAGCAGAATGTGCAGGTGAAGATGTTGGTTTCGTTAGGATCTGGCATGTTTCAAGCATGAAGAAAAGGGTGTTCTTTCGGTTATCATGTTAAGGGCGGCTAACAAAGGAGCGTAAATGATGAGAAGACTCAGCGAAACGGACGTCGGCGTTTGCCTATCTCTAATAAGATCATGAACGTTTGAAGACGTGACCAAGGTAAAGTGAGGAAAGAGGGAAAATATGTTGACATACACGGGGGGGGAAGAAATTATCGATATAGAATGGCAAGTACAAGAGTGGTCCAGGGAGGAAGGTGCATTCACTGTGTCACAAAGAGCGAACATAATAAAACGGTACGTCATGTCTAGACATGAATATGTGCCTATATTCATAAACAATACAAACAATTACAAATGCAAGATGAACTGTCCTCATCTGATGTTTGATTCTCATAACATGGTCCGTTTTGCCTTTACGCCCCTAAACCCCCTAACCATGAGTTGACCCGGATCCTTTGCCTTCTGTGAAAACAGCATACCAGCAGTTCTGCAAAATAATCAAAAAAACAAAGCCACATTTAAAAAAAACAATCTCAAAACTCCATTAAGCAAAGCGTGTTTCGTCATTCGCTTCTTGTGTCCAGCTCTGGGTAGCTGTGAACAGACTTTGGTGACCAACATGTTAATAGTCAGAACTAGTAACACTCACACATCCTGTTCCAACCAACCTCCAGAGTACAACAGACACGCAAAGGTCGTATTATGCATTCGTTGTTAAAAAGAGTGGGACTTCGAGAATTAAAACTCGAACTCTCACAGTACACCAATAGTATTGGAAACCTATGCTCGGTTCTTGGGTCGAGCAAGCATGTTGAGCCGGCTCATACTGAGAACTGAACGCTTTTTCATGGGGCTAGCGGTAGCAGGGGTACGCGGAAGCCCACCGGTCTTCGCCTTCTTTGCACTGGGAGTGCCACCAACAAGTCGAGGGGCAAGAAGGGCCTCGCCTTCAGGAACGTGCTCAGCCTTGCGCTTTTTAGCGGAGCGCTCTGCTTTCTTCTCCTCCGCTTCTTCTTCATCCCAGCTAGTCCTGTGTCGCTTCTTATTAGACATGCCGTGAGGTGCGCCGAAAATAGTCTTCTCGGTATCAGGCTGGCTGTTCTCCTTGTTGGGACCAATAGGAGAGGTAGGGCCAGGGAAGCTACCGGGCATCTTCGCATCAGGCTTAAGTGACTGTCGTACTTGACGAATGCTGGACTGGCCGGGAGAACCTCCGAAGCCTAGCACAGGAGCATCTCCAAGCTCGATAGTGTGATCGCTGCGGAACGTGAATTTGCCGGGAATAGAAGCAGGTGCCGCAGGTAGAGTCTCCTTGTGCTTGAGAGGGAGTTCCGGGAGAGGTCTGAAGCCACTAAGGTCGGGGTACACCACATCTCCTGAGTCTGTATCTGCAAGTGCTGCATCAATACCCTGGAACTGTTGGTCTTCCAAGCTCCGTGTCGGTTGAGCCTTGAGGCAAGACTTCAAAGGAGAAGGTGAGTTTTGCTGGAAAGCGACACGGGTGACCTCAGGAGTAAACGCGACATGCTTGGTTACCTTGCGTCGAGGAGTAGTCAACGGAACAGGAGGCAAAGCCTTGTCTTTATCAGCCTTGGGTGGAGCGGGTGTTTGAGAGGTCGTGGGCTGGGGGATAGCAGTCTGGACATTGCCGGAAGGTGTTCGGTGTCCTCGCAAGATCGATTTGACTTTATCAAAGCGCCCTGCGCTAAGAACACGAGCTCTGGGTGTGGCTGGTTTGCTGGGGGAAAGCAGGCTTGGGGTGCTGGTGGATTTGGGCAAACCGCTCTTCAGGTCAGGCTTCGAGGGAGATTTGACCAGAGACGTGGTTGGCTTGCCTGAATGAGCAAGAGAGGCCTTCGTGGGACTCATGAGCCGCGAGAAGCTTGGCTTGGAGGCAGGCAACTTAGTCGCATCATTTCCGCTGGACTTGGGGCGAGGAATCGCCGAGTCATCGCGTGAGACGGGTCGGTTTGTTGACGCGTCGTCGTCCTCTCGCTGCTTAACTCGCTTTGAAGTCACGCGTTGCTGTGTGTTGGGGAACAACGGCGTCTTCTTGGCGGATGGGGGAAGAGCCATGGGAATACCGGAAGGAGGCATAGTAGACTTCTTCGGGGAGGGAGATTGTTGGTACTCATCAAGATTAGCTCGAGAGGATTTGCGCTTGAGACTTTGTGTGACGCGAGGTGTCGAAGGAGTAGGAACGTCCAGTTCAGCCTTTGAGGGTGAACGCTTCAGACCCGACTTATCAGGAGATGACGTTGGTGTTGTCTCCAGGTTCGCCTTTGACGGTGTTCGCTTGAGCGACTGGACAACAGGCTTGAATTTACCGTTCTGAGCTCTCCAGGCAGAAGGATGGTTTTCGATAGAGTCCATCTTCTTGAACTCAGCCATATGCGCCGCGCTGTAGCGATCCGATTTGCCCTTGGGTTTGGCGATCTTGCGTCCATCCACGTCAGGTCCATCCGCCTCGCGCTGAGCCATGAGGTCCACCTTTATCTTGGCCGCCTGCTCTCGAAGTTCTACCATCATTCGCTGCGCATCGCCGCTGAGGCCAGTGTCTGCGGTATCGCGCGTAAATCGGAACGTGAAATCGGATGCGGGTACCCCTATCTTTGATGGCGTGTCGGGTTGGGCGCCAGGACCCTTGGTGTCCTTGATATCTGTGAATCCGAGTCTCATGGCAGAAGAGGGTTCACCCATGGTGTGGTGGGCCTTGCTTGGGTGCATTTCCTCGTGAGGAGGCTTCATCGCGGATGAAGCTGGTGTAGAAGGCGCAGGGGCCGGCGAAGATGGAATAGCATTGCTTTTGTTCTTCTTGAGTTGTGGAAGTCGTTGGGGTGATTCGGCATCTTCAGTGACGGCCGCCAAAGTAGGCGCTGCCGGTTTCGTCTACAAGAAAAAAGTCAGATGGTTTTTCTCCCGAAACAGGAGTGATGCCATCGTGAGGCTTACCTTGGTAGAGGATGCCAGCCGGGCCGACCTACGGCGCGGGGGTGACATTGTGTATAATAATGGAGGTATGTGATCGGGACTCGATGAAGTTATGCAAGCTTTGAGCAATTAATTTCAACGATTAAGGGTTTGCGATCCTCGTAAGTTGATGTCTCTGGTATGATGTCAAATCCTGTTCTGGCGCGTTGAATCCAACATTGTTACTGGTGGGGCTCAATTGCTTTGTTTACATGGTCCAAGCTCCATAACAACCAGCGGGTGAGGCTGCGGCTACAGTGCTTAGTACCGTGCGCAATCTTCAGTACTGTGCTGTCATCTACCCTGTAGCATCAGATCCAGTAAGAGTGTCAAACAGATATCAATTCATCCATCTCGTCAATTCGGTCAGCAATCCTTATGCTCATTCATTGACAGATGCTCTCCATAAGACATATATGTTACTTTGTAACGGTCATGTTTGGTTTAAGCCCAAGGGCACGCCCGCCCGTTTTACAACGTTGAGACATACACTCAAACATTTCACACGTCCAAGCCCGGTGGCTGTAAGCTCTTACAGTTCGAAACCGAACATTAAAGACGATGTACTAGGTTTCTGCAAGCGTCCATGGGGTTACTGGTGATATGATCACAGAACCGACAATATTGAAGCATAAACGACTGACGCACAGAGTTATGGCGAGATACTGGAGTTCTGTCACGAGCAATGGCGAACGGTTCACAACATCCCACGCCCATTTTCCTGCACCAGATCGGGGAAACAAAAACGAGAATACTCAAGCCCTCAGGAATGCAGCAAATCGACAGGAAGCGGTGCTATGATCGAAAAGTTCCATTCAATAGCAGTATCTCACCACCGAATACGTGACTTACAATCTCGTGCCTGCGTACCTGATTCCCATAGAGGAAGCCCATGTGTACGTAGCATGTTGGCTGCATCCTGAGGATTCCAGCACTTACCATATTTCAGTTCCGGCTCCTTACCCGCCGTGATCGACGCAAGATCGAGACCGAATGGACTCAGATCATGCCGCGGTAATAATGTCGATATGGGCTGAGGATCCCCTCGGGGACCTTACAGGACAAGGTCAGGCTATTGCTGCAAGCCTCCGACCCAAGACACGCTAGAAAATTTCCAGAAACAACCCCCAGTCCGATAACAATAGCCTGAGCTCCGAGTCCCTACGATGGCAACCATGGCGCAACCACTTACATGTTGGTGCCATAAGCTACACAAGGCGCAAACCTAGTCAATTCAATGGTCGTCAGCTGAGGGGATAGGGTTTTCCGTCTCTTTCGGTGAAGAAGGTGAGCCAAAGTTTCGGCAGATTCAACCGATGCTAGGGTGGCTTGGCTACGGTGATTGCCCTGGGCATCTGGGCATGAGATCATGTTAGCACGACAACACATATAGTGTACCAGAAGATGCCTGTTTTCACGCAACAGCCCGACCATCGTGAATATGAGTTGTCAATGAAACAAGTCTTGATGCCGGCAATTGAGGAATTGTTTTACATACCAACCCTGAAGGCCATCATCACCTTGAAATCAACGTCACAAACACGACCCTCAAGTTGTCGACACAGGGCGGAAGCTAAGGCCCAACCAAGTTACAGCAGGAGACCGGCGCAGTTCGGGAGATGCAGGTCAAGCGGGTTCGCTAGGTCAAGCGAGACGAACCGCCTTCCTTTGGCCCTACTTGGCAGATCCTCGCTCGTTGGTGAAAGCAGGGATGCTTTTTGTGTGCCTGGCCATGAAATCTTAACCGGTCCATCAAAAACGATAGGGCGTAGTTGACACTCTTTCAATATTAACGAATGGTGCGTGCTTGCGATCAAGGATGTTGAGGTCAATCTGATGGTACGCGTATTCTTGCTTACTAGGCTGTTGGTACTCCTGCTTGAAAGAGTGGTTTATATCGCGCTGGCATGTCAAGAAAGCTATAGATGTCAGTGACCAAAGCATCAGCCGGAAACATCAGTCGAGAGCCTCAACTTTCGAGATCAAAACAGGATCAACCTAACCATATTGCCATCAACTGACAATCCCACAAAAAGCGGGAGATCTGGGGTAATAGCAGCAATCAAAATCTTGACCTCCTGAACCCACCGTCAAAGCTAATATTTGGTCGCCTACCCCAAAAGAGGATATCCAGACTGGAGACCGCTGACGGGTCCCCTAGATCTGTGGCTCCGATCAAACAAGCTATGCATGCAGGCAAGGAAATGAAGTGAACCAGCAGAGTTTTCAAAGCATGTTTCTGGAATCACACATGGAAGCCAATGCTTTCCATCATGTGAGACTCCACTGTTGCACGGCTGGGGGCTACTGTATGCACGTCTGATCCTAAAGGGACGGTGGACTAGGATCGTTATCCATAGTTGCGACTCATGGCGTCTAATAAGACCTAGGAAGAGCTATGATACATCATCATCATAATCGTAACACATTATGGGCTTGAGCTATTATTGTCTAGGACTATTGAGCTTCCAAAGATGGATAGCAGACTTTGGTTGTGGCCTCAGCGTTGTCGTTTCTGGAACCGTCGGTAACTTACATGAAACAGGACGTTGAATATTAAGTTTACTTGCCGACTGCCTGATTAACGCCGGCAATTCGAAAGAGTGATCATCGCCAATAACACAACAAAATACCGATTCTTGAAAGGCAGCCTGGTTGATCAACTTATGATGCTGGGATGCTGCCATATGCCGTCATTTCCATACGCTAAGCAATGACAAGCGTGCTCTGTCAAAGTGATGAGCACTTGAATTATCTGATTGATATGCAATAGAAGGTTGTCTCGCTTATCTGAATAGGCAATAAGAAGTACTATGGCACAAGAGTGTCCAGTGACTATACCTTCGTTAGTCGAGTGTTTGGGTTGCACAAGTCAGTCTCGTAGTCTGGTTTATGAGACAAAACCCAGACATCCGGAATATCTTGACAGCCCTGATATTCTTTGGCACACTTCAATTCAGGTGCAACCCGGTGACTTGTTTGACCACATGGTCTTCAAACCGTAGGACAAGTAGACATTGTTGCACAAATCTACGTACTGCCCATTCATGTTGTAGAAACACATGCTCTTACAAGGATGATTAAAGCCTGCGGATAATCCTCTTTGACCGGAGGTTTCGGAGGACTGAAGAAAACAAGGATCAAAACATCTTGAATCCTACAAGCGCTAAGCAGAAAACGTACACTATTGGACATTCACATGTATTGGCTGCTCCACAGGTGCTTGGGTGACCTGCTGTCGTAAGCCAAACTTCATCACGAGAAGCCTGCCAACCGGGCTCTACGGGGTTCGGATTTATGTGCGATGAAGCCAGCGGCGTTACAGATGTGAGGACGACTTGGACCAGGTGACCACAAGAGCTGAAAAATTCACAACAGCCTCACGATCCTCTAACAACAGACAGTTGTAAGAGAAGACTGGAGAGGTTGGGGTCAATAGCGGGACTCGTAGATAAACCCCGGTCGTCGGACCTCGCATGGGTCGTTCTCTGAGTTTTCTAGAACCGCCAGGGTGAGAGTCAGAAGAACCGGTGTAATTAAGCATGAAAGGATGATCAACCGCGAAATGACGAAGCCAAGTACGTGCTCAGCGTGCTGACAGCCAGACACAATGAGACGTTACGGTACCGTTGAGCTCTAAAATTCAGACTTTGCAGATTTCATCGGCGAAGAGAACTTTGAGAGATTCCGGCAAGCGTTGAAAATTTCTACAAAGATCATGATTGGCGAGATAGTGGATGCAGGACTCGAGGGCTGTCTGTCAAAGTAGACGAGCAACGCTTTCTGGCGCCCTACGCCACCAAGGCGCACCGTTCAACCACCAAACCGCCCTTGTTGTTGTCTCTTGTTGACGATTGAAGTATTTCCGGTGAGAGAGTGAGAGTGAGGGGGGAGCGAAAGCGGGGGCTCCGATGTTACAGCTGCCGATCAGTTCAACCAACAGAAAAGAGAGTGGTCCGGCGGCCGAGTGGTGAAGGAGCCACACGATGAAAATGATCGTGCAGTCAGTGCTTTTTGCTGATATGATAGCGACAGGAAACCATGGTTTTGTATGTTTATCGGTAGATCTCGAATAACAGCGAGGCCATAGACTGCTTATCAGTTGAACATCCTCTGGAATCCCACTGTCTCACTTATGCTCGGACTTGGTCTTATCTTGCGTGGGTTCAGCTGGAGTGTGATGAGCGGAAGGATGTGTGAGAAAAGAGCCTAGTTCCAAGGTCGAGCGAGTGGGATGAAAGTGCCAGACCAGGGCATGCATGGCTGCAAGTGCAAGAGTGCATCCAGACAGACCAAGACCAGACTGGAGTGAGAGTGAGTGGGCTGAATGGTGTCGTGCTATTGTAAGCCCTTCCCTCCCCTACATTACATACCTACCTAGAAATGCTTGTCGAGGATTGATTGATCGATTGCCGCTTCGTTTTATCCCTCATTTGGAGGATTAAGAGAAATCACATCAAGGCCCGTGCATTTGTTTTTGGCTTGTCGAATCCCAATGATGAAGAATTAAGGTCAAAGATGGAGGAGTCCGGTGGTGGACTGGTTTTTTTTAGTGGGTGGTGCCGCTGTCTCCTGTACTCCACAGCCCGTATGATGCCCACTTCAGTCCCGGATACGAGGTTTTAATTGGCTCAAGGGTTTTGGCCCTCGAGTCTTTGCAGAAAAGAAGGAGCGTCCTGGGCAGCCCCCTCCTGCCAATTTACATTACATAAAACCGTATTCCCTTGCGGCGTGAGTGATCCCCTTCTCTGTTATCGCAACCGTCCCCCCCCCAAGAAATCGACGCGAATTACAGCCCGTCTTTTATCTCTTCGTAGAATTTCTTACGTTTGTTTTGCAAACACCCTGCGACACTGATAGGATAGCCGCTTGTTAGACGCGTATCAGTGTCCTTTCACATCACATCACATCCATACTATCTTTGATAGCCAAGCGTTGTCTCTGACTCTTCTCAGCACCTCAGCAGTGCTGACCCCCGTACGACCCCCAATCCGGGCTGCATTTGCTATCTCTTGCGCCCGCTGTCATTACGCCCGCAACCGCAAAGAAAAAACCCAACGGGCGCACACTTGCCTGTCTTGATTCTTTACGCCCGTCGACTTGACGTTCCACCCGTCTTCGTCACGTAACAGAATTCCCGTTTTGCGTTTCTGGGGCGTTTGCCGCTGCGCGGCAAATCGTCTAGTAGCCCGGTCTGGGTAATGGCAGACAAGATGTCAATCGATAAGGCGGATCCTGCGCAACACCAAAACAACAACAATCATCTCAATGGCCTAAACGGTCATCCTCGGGACGAGACCGACTCTCTCGTTGGCTCAAGCCCTGAAGGCGATCATCACCCTGCGATACCCTCTGCTGCTAATGCCACCCAAGAGCCTCAGCAGCCCAAGAGGAAGGGCGGCCGCAAGCCTGTAAGTCTTTACTCGGTTTCATATCTCACTTACACCGTCTACCATATCATGCTTCTATCATCCACGAGCAAGGTTTCCTATCAGGAACAATGTCACAGCACGATGGCGCCAAGGCAGATCACTTTGACGTTGCGTCTTCCCCGCTCCCTCGAATCTCACTCATCTCTTGACGACTGAGACATCACAATCTCTACATACAAGATCATCTAGAATAGCTACTAACAGGCAATGTCAAGATCTATGCGACTTCCGAAGAGCGAAAGCAGAGGAACCGACAGGCTCAAGCTGCCTTCCGTGAACGTCGAACTGAGTACATAAAGCAGCTCGAAGAGACCATCCGCGTCCATGAGTCCAACCTCCATAACCTCCAGGCGGCTCACCGCACCGCCGCCGACGAGTGCTTGATGCTTCGATACAAGAACTCGCTACTTGAGCGTATTCTTCTTGAGAAGGGAATCGACGTCCAGGCCGAACTTCGTGCAAAGACTGGCAGCCCCAACCTGGGTCCGACTCATATGCCTCAGAACATCGTTCAGCCGCCACCAATCCAGCGTGCTATTATGAACCGACACCACCAGTCTCGCCGATCGAACTCGAATATCGCTCCCAAGGCCGAGCCTGTCCCTGTGCTGCCACCTCCGCTTCAACCTCATTCGAATGCTACCTCACCCAAGAACCGCCCGACACCATCGTCTCACTCGAACTCCCCTAGCAACACAGGTTCCGCCTTCTCTCCTGCTGCCTCAGATAACATGTCGATGCGAGGCTCGATGACAAGCATGTCACGCCAGCAGATGCCCCAACAGCCGCAGCAACCACAGCAGCAGCAAATGTCTCAGAATACACAGGCCCCTCGACCTTCAATGATGCAGAATGGTGGTCGCGGACAAGGTGGATCCGGAGCTTCTTACTATCCTACCCCTGCTTTCCAGAACCATATTGAGCAGCTTGGTAAGTTATTCTGCCTATCCTATTATCAACAATACATTCTAACACTTTACCCACAGAGCAAGAATACGATGCTCAAGCAGATATGATTGATGAGCCTGAAATGGAAACTCCGGCTGGCCATGGAGGATATCCGTCTGGCTACAACGGCGAGAACCAACAGCCCATGATGATGTCGCCTGCCTCCAGCGGTCCTGGTCATCAAATGACACCATCCCACGAGCCCGTCCAGCAGCAGCAGCAACAGCAGCAGCAGCCCCAGACTACACACTCTCAGTATCCGTCAATGACCCAGTTGTTGGACCAGAACGGTCTTGATTGGGACCCTTTCGGATTGAGTGCCAGTATGGCGTTCCCCAACGGACAGCAATTTCAGTTTGAACAAGCCAACATGAGGTGAAATTGTAACTCGAAAACAACCTCTGGAATTAGTCCTCCAGAGGGTCCACTCATCGACAGGCGCCTGCAGAGCTGACGAAGTAGGAGGTCCGGTCCTCTTACCAGCTCTCGTTCAAGTCAAGAGATCCATGGTTGGCCAAGATTCTCGTGGGATTGAAAAATTCCGCGTTTTTCGGAAGTTGGCGCACCACAGGCATGCTACATGAAGACAAAAACACTTAACGCTCGCACTTGATTGAAAGGCAATCTCGCCGCGACTGACTTGTTGGTTCTTCTGCGGGATGTGTGATAGATATATCCCACCGCAACCGACTTGGACAACAGGCCCCCCCTTAGGCCGAACTTCAGCACATCATCATGCAGCGTGGAGATACGTTGCAGATGGTCAAAAATTATGATACCCTTCCGAAGGCAAGACCTGTCGACGGACTTTACGACTATAATTCAGGACAGAAATATTCGATATAGAGCTCCCTTGCGTTAAGGAGTTTCAGCAATACTATATAAAAGCACTTAATCATTGCTTCTTACGAAAGTCAGCGACATGCCATTCGATAACCGATATATGCCTGCTCGTTTCAAACAAATACCAAGGGCAATGGAGTACAAGGAATTTAAAAAATAGGAATGTTATATGATGGTGGTTTTTGCGTGGATTTGCTTCAGAAACCCAGAAATGTTGGTTTTTAGGGGTTTACTAAAAGTTTAGTGATCAGATCTAGAGTCTGTTGAAAGCGAAGTTGTTTTCTTGAAGGGATTCAGTATAGCGAACGCAGCTGTGGACGAAATCAAAGTCACATTGTGAAGTGCCTTCGTACATAGCACGCATCGAATACCATATTTACTACATACATTGCCCCTGAGCCAATTGACCATTCCCTTTGTCGACCCTTCTTGCGAGTCAGAAGTCGAACCAAGTTTTACCCCGGAAATATGGACACGGACCTTTGCACGGTTCCCCGTGAGGATTCTTGAAAGCAAGGAAGCTTGACACATACCCCGGAGAAGTAAGTCACGATGCGGGACAGCGAGGTTGTTCCACAGGTGACATAAAAGACTGGTTCATTTTCGATAGGAGCAACAGTGTACAGTTCCATTGAACCCCATTGTTTCTGTCCAGGCTTCCACTGAACCTTGGCGCTATTCCGGCTTTCCACGACTTCTGTTATGCGTTATGTAAGTTTTATCAATAGCTTCTTCACGGTTGCGGTCGAGTGTTGGGGCTAGAGCATAGATGTGAGATTGGGCGGGTCGGTGCGGACGCGAGAGAATCAGTGGGACTAGCTCAGGATCTGATATGGATCAAGATCGACGGACGGCGTGAGTTTGTTTTAATAAGTTTGGGGAATTGCGGGTGAAAACGGTCCTGTCCTTTGGGTGCAGTTATTGGTAGCTGCGGAGGTTGACCTTGACCAAAGAGGTTCATGGGGATAAGCCCGGGAATGATATGGGATGAGGTTTCTTTACTTTGAATACACTGTACAGTTGCATTCGGCTCACGCTGTGTGCATGTAATTGTTTGCAATGTTCAACATGATATCGTGGCCTATAACGACGAACTGGTGAAATCGCATCCATATATATCGTGGAGTTATTACTAAAAAGCCATCACGACCATAACGACAACAGCTACGCTGGCCCAACATCCCGTGTCCTGCATGTGAGGCGCTGCACTATTCCAAAGCACTTTGGACTCACCGGCCTTGTCTACGCCGTCAATACTACAGACCACTTTGCACCCCTCGTCACTTTCCCCTCGACGAAGGAGAGAACCCCTTTGTCCAACATCCCTCTCCAGCCTCCCCCTGTCAAGACTTCTCTTATCCTCATTGTCCTTAGTAACATTCTACACCATCTCAATCCACTGGATCTGCATGTATGCTGCATCACCAAGACTCATATTACCGCTCCACGAACCACCGTCACTCCACGCATTGAGAATGATCTGTGCCGGGTCCTTGGGCGTCCGAAATTCGATGCTGGCTACCTCTTGCCCTTGTACATACCACACAGATCTTTCAGATGTCCAATCCAGTCGATGCACAACCCAATCATCCCACTCAATACCCTCTGGCAAGGTAGCGTTGCGGGTAGCTTTGGGAACCTCATCACCGTCCTCCATAAATGAGGCTGGTTCGTATACTGGATCCGGTTCTTCGGATCGCGCGTCATGATCTCTATATCGGCTTCTTGCACATCTGCTAGCTCTTCACCCTCTAGGTAAGTGAACAGAGCCATGCATGCACCCGTGCTGCCGGTGACACGAGCGAGCATCCGCACCGAGACGTAGTGATACGTTGGCACGGATTCGAACTCGGCGGCGCTCTGGAAACCGGGCATTCGCATCGTCCTCATGGTGAAGAACGTGTCTGAAGTTGCATCGTCATCGTCGTTTTCTTGGATGTAGATGTTGTTTGGAGAGTTGACCATGAAGACAGTTGCGTCGCCAGAGAGACTGACACCACCGCTCTCACGATTGTTCCAATCTTGAATACTCCATGCGTTATCCCAGGCGTCACTCTTGAAGTAGTCGCTCGTTATACCTGCTTTTCTGGAAGCATTCTTAACAGGACTTGGGACTTTGGCATATTCTGCAAGATCTCGGAAGTCATAAAAGCTGTGCTGTGAATAGTAGGCAGAATTGGAGCCATTGGTGAGATAGCATTCGCAGTCATTGTCAGTTGTTGATGTTGATGAGACACGACTGATAGTGGCTAACACGATGAGCCGTAGACAAAGAGAGTGAAGTGACCGAGACATGGCTATAAGTTAACCATCAAGCAATGGACATACAGACAGATTGAATCAAGAGATACATTTTCACTGATTAGCATCGTGAGCTGAGAGCTCCAATATAGCTTATGAGCTCCTTAGTTAGGTCTATGCGCAAAGAGAATGGTCGAGGCCTTCAAGTGAGATGACATTGAATCCTATAAGTCCGATAGTTGGGACTTAGTAATCCATTTGAACTCTTTAAACGTACAATCTCAGAGTTCAGCAGAAATGTTTAACCTTCACTCTGTGATTGTGAATGCCTGATCATCTCCCTTCGATAGATGTGAAGTGAATGTGAATGTCCTCGTACAGTACCTCAGTCGTTCATGCAAGACGGCTTCATGGTGCCTCACGTGACTAGCTCCATCCACTCGTCCGGCGCAGTGTCGCCTAAATTATGCAACCAGCGTCAGAGGCGCAGCTGATTTATCATTCCGAGTTATCCAGTCGCAATTCTTTTTATTCAACCAACCATCATCGTCAAGTTACGATTATCGATTTCTTGATAAATTGCGAAGCACATATTTGCTATCCAATGAATCGCTGCCAGTGAATCCAATTAACTGGATACTGAAGACATCATTCGCTCTGCTCTGCTTTGCTTTGCTAAATCCAAACCTCAGGTGCATAAGTATCACGATGACACTGTCGATTTTCGTAAACTCATTTTTGGGATGATAGACCTTTCAACATCGCAACCACCAACGCAACACTCGCCATGTCATCGCCAAAGCCTTCCGCCGGCGTAGAGGAACCGGTCACCAAGTCGCCGAAGCCAGAGTCACCTCAACGCGACGGCGCGTCCGAACCTGCGGAGGAGAGTTCTGGTCGCGAATCTGGGGAGGCTTCTGAGTCGCCAACTGACCACAACAATGAAGCCGATAAGGATGCGCCGCCTCTGCCCAACGAGCCGGCTCCGGATGGACCACCTTTGCCTAGCGAACCCTTACCTTCTGGACCGCCACTGCCTAACGAGCCTGCGCCGCAACAGGAGGATGATGGTTGGGATTGCCAATGGGATCCAAACACACAGGCTTGGTTCTTTGTAAATCGCTTCACTGGCCAATCTCAGTGGGACAACCCCCGAGTCGCCACAAGCGCTACCGTACCTGCCGCTCCAGGTATTCCTCAACCCCCAGCATCAGAGAAACCTGCAGCTGGAGGTTACAACCCAGCCATCCACGGCGACTACGACCCGAACGCTTGGTACGCTAAAGGGGGCAACGAAGATGATCAGACCGCAACCACAACCGCCGGTATCATCGACCCCGCCGAGATTTACGCCTCAACAGCTACTTTTAACCGCTTCACCGGACAATTTCAAGCAGCTGGCGAAGGACCCGAGCGCCACAGTGACGAAGCCAAGTCGAAGCGCCAAATGAACGCCTTCTTCGACGTTGAGGCCGCCGCCAATGCCCACGACGGCCGCAGCTTGAAGGCTGAGCGTTCGGGGAAGAAGCCTTCCAAGGCGGAGCTCAAACAGTTCAAGGAAAAGAGACGAGCTCGCAAGGAGGAGAAGCGTCGCGCTTGGCTGCGGGACTGATTTGGGAAACATCATTTTCTTATCTTCGCATACAAGGTGGCAGCACCTCTGGGAGGCGTTTGTTTTTCTGGTAGGAGTTGGTTGGCGGTTTCTGGATTCGGTTGGGAGAGGGTTGGCTCCGATACGTAGTGCTAGATCATGACTTTGGATCCAGCAGATATGCCTTCGTGCATTGAATAGGCTAGAGGATGAGGGATCAGATCCTATAAATTATATACATATACCCAATAAATGCTCTTTCACAATTGCTTTTACATCCATATATTCTCGTCAGGGTATCAGAAGATGTGGCCCCTAAAAAGCGTAAGAGACGAGATCCGGACTTCATTATTATGTTAGCCTAAGCTTTAGAGGAGAATTCTTGTGTTACTGCAAAAAGCAGAAGAGACGAAATGATTTGGCCACATTATTCTACCTTATGCAAGTATTTACACTACTCTCTTCCTGTAGCCTAAGTCTATTCCTCGTCGTCGTCGTCATCATCCTCTAGTTCCATATTCAAATGAACACTCTCGTCCTCAGATTCCTCTTCGACCTCAGTCGTAACGAGGGCGCTTTGGGTAGGTGCGGGGAGCACTCGATCCGGAGACGAAGACTTCTCCAGGACCTGCCTTTTCGGCGCGGAGTCTGGTGGACCCTCGTGCTTTCGCTTGGGCGGCGAGGATGCTCGCGCAAAGGCGTTGCGATTCTCTGAAGTATTGGCCTTTTCAATAGGAGCAAAGGGGTTACTTTGGATTGGCAGGTTCTTTTCGGCGTGGGGAGCTGTAGGAAGTGTTCCAGGCTTGAATAGGTCACCCCTCTTCTCAGGGACAATCTCGTCCTCCACATCGCCATCTTTCATCTCCTCATCTTCCTCCTCTTCCTCCTCATCCTCAACAGGGAGAGCCTCTAGCGGCTCCTCACCCTCTGCCAAAGTCTGAACGCCTGCGCGGATGTTGCTGCGCAGAATCTCGAGACCCTTGTCGTCAGGGAATTGTTGAGTAAGGTGAGGAAGAATGCTAGGATAAACTCGGCCTCGCTGGTCCTTGTAGGGGTTGAGAACGCTTGCGAGCATGGCGTCGCGGTTACTTGTCACAATAGCCGTCTGGTCAACAAGACCCCGCAGAGCAGCCTTGAGATGCCTTTGTGGTAGGTTTGATAGGATGACCGGCAAGAGACTGGTGGCAGCGGCCTTGTGCTTAAGCTCTAGAGATATGTTGGAAGCAACCTCGGCAGATTGGGGCTTGAGGAAAAGGTCAGCATTGGCAGCGATGCTGTTCTTCTTGCTATCGGTGCCAGATGCCGCCGGCTTCTCCTCCTTGAGATGGCCAGCATCTTGCTGCAGGTCACGACAGCAAGCGCCAAGGATAGGGTCAAGGCTGGCAACAGAAGACTTAGACAATGTCGGGCCGGAGATGTTCAGGATCTCCTTCAGGACGGTATAACCGGTTGTTCTGACTGTGGGAAGGTTGATTCCAGATTTGAACACGCGGACGAGATGGTCAAGGACCTCAGGGGCAATAGCCACTGAATCTTGTCCCAGGCGTTGGAATAAGACTTCAACAAGCTGTAGAACAGAAATGTGAATATTAGGCAGTGCTGCCCAGAGGCTATCCTTTTCGTCTCTTGAAATCGCAGCGTTGGTTTGAAGGGCCTGATCCCACGATTGGGACTTGGGTGAGAGTCTAGCGATAAGCAGTAGTCGAGACGCAGCATCAACAAGAGCGCTGGTAGGTATTGTGACAGGTGTTTTTGTAGGGTATTTCAAGCAGTCTGAAAGGTACTGGTACAGACCAACCAAGCGCTCGGTGCCAGCCTCGATACCGGACCACGAGGGGAGTTCGGCTCCGCCTCCGCCATTTGGTTCACCATCAACTTCAACTTGAGATCGAGTGTATCCGTTCGATCCCTCCCATGATTCTTGCACAGCTCTCAAAACCTGATCAGCGGTAGAGTGCAACTCTTTCAGGAGAACGTCGATCAATTTGGCCCACTCTTCACTACCTCCTGACTTGGCGGCGACATGGTGAAGCGAAATGACGAGTTTTCGCGAAGCTCGCTGCAGGCTTTGAGGAGCAACAATTTCGTCTGATTGCGTAGGAGCGAGATATGGCTTGACTGCGGTCTTCAGCTTGGCGCTGGAAGGTCGAACTGTGGTTGGGTAGAGCGGGATGAGAGCTGAGAGGGTGTCGCATATAGTCTCAATGACAGACAAAGGTGTTTGAAGCTTCTCTCCAGACTTGGGAGCGCTGATGAGCTTGAGACAAGCGGTGACAAAAGTTGGGATAGTTGGTGTGGCGATCTCTCGGACCAGAGTTTGGTATGGTTGGACTGAGATGTAGATGTGTGCAAGAGTCACAATAGCCAACTCTTTGGAGGCCATTGGATCACTTTTCTAGCAGGGGTTAGTAGGATACTCTATCGAAATGAGTTTGAACATACCTCAACGACAGCCAAAAGACCAGCGACCCATTTTTGACAATCTCGCAGAACCTCCCATCCACCAACATCGACCATAGTCTTAATCAGAGCAACGGCAACAAATCGAGACTCGCGGGTTGTACGTCCAGTCAGGAGGTTGTTGATCTTCAACTTGATCTTGTGAACGATTCCAGCGGCTTCAGAAGAGCCATTCTTGACTTTGGTATCTGAAGGCGCCGACAAGGCCTCTTTGCAATGTAGGACATGGTTGATGAGAGACGGTAGCGCATGAAGAAGAAGCTGAGGTTCCGCGATATCGTTAAGTTTGCGGAGAAGAACCCGCAGATCGGGTGGTGTTGAAGTCGACATGATTGTTGAGTTTTGGGTGAGTCTTGATGAGAGAGGTTGTGAAGTCTCAGATGCTTTGCGACAAAGTAAGTTCTTTAAGATATTGGTCTAGGCAGAACCAACTCAAATTTGATAATGCGCCGCCACTTGTAATTGACAGAAGCAGAAGCAATTAAAGTATCTTGACAGAGTCTGAACGATTAGGTATAATCCAGAAAATCTGTCAAGAATGCAAATCTTGGCTTATACGGAACCTCAGATTCTGCTTGAAGCTGTAGATCAGATCGACCAAGAAATCTTCGAAACTTTTTTTCTGCTTCTGTAGTTTAGGTCCCTTAGCAACGCCAACAGCATAGCTTAGGTGGGTTAGCCTGGCCGGCCGGGAAGACCCCTGGCAGTGGAGTCTATCGTGCTGGAATGTCCGATTTTGATTGGCTTGGCAGTCGAGTTACGTCGTCCCAGCAGCTCTCCATCTGCCAAATACCACCGTAACCACCTTTAAGTCCAGAGACCGCAACTATACCATCACCACAGGAGGCCTCGTGAAACAACACGAATATCTTTCAGTATAGACGATTCTGAAACCTTTACGGTCTCAGTAACCTCGAATTCGAGGTCTCCTGTTCTTTTTCCCCATCGAAACCCTCCCGCCATGCTCTTGGCGCTACCCAGCTGCTAGTCTAAGTCCGAGACCGATCCCCTGAATATTGAATAGACAGACAATCAACCATGGGTGTAAGACGAGACAGGATGCCCGTATGGATTGTCGAGAAGCTGACCGTGTATTGCTGTTGTTTTATAGCCCAAGGCTGTGCAATATATCAACCAGCTGGACCATGCCCGCTGCGACGGTAACTGGGACCTGGTCCCGGAGCTCGTTCGCAAAGTCCGCAAGCATGCTCCCGATAGAGCTTGTATGATACTCCGAATAGCTTCTCAAGAAACAATAGTAACAAAATTCAACTAGGCCTCGCGCTGACCGCCGAAACCGAATGCGCCATTGCGAAGACGACGGGAGCAGCAGCTCATACAAATAACGAAAGTCGACCAACCACTGCCGTTAACACTGGCGATATTAATGTTGCGGACCAACTACCGAAGCTCGAGGCGGCGATTGATGAGGAAGCTGCACACGAGAACGACAGATTCCAGGCCGAGGTATGCGCAGGCTGGTTGCACTGGACACTGGGAGACTACAACCAATGTGTTACTCGACTACCCGAGAATAACTTGACGGAAGGAGAGATCAATCCAGCCGATAAGAATGCTGAATGGTCAAGCGTCTGCGCGCTCAAAGCCGCATACCTCAGGGCTAATTGCCTTGCGCGTAGTGGTGAGTCGAAGCAGGCCTTGATTTCTTACCGAGCCGGTCTTCCATCTCTTGGACGAGTGTGGGCAGAACACGGAATAGGACGACAACTTCGATACTGGTCAGAGTTGTTTCTTACCGAATACTGCATGCTCGCCGGCAACGCGTATCAAAACAACGAAATTCTGCAGGTTGATGCTGACTCATTGTCCGGTTATCGTGCCTGGGCAAGATTCTGGGATACCATGTCTACACCTGTGACGGGAGGATACGGCTTTAAGGGGTCCGTACCTAGGAGGACGGTCTGGAAGGAGTACTACACCGCTCTCTCACAGATTCTCGAGTCCGATCAGCCCTTTCCAACTGGGTTTGTGAGCAATACGGCTGGCGACCTTTCACCGCGAAGTCAGCTGCGAATAGAACTCAAGCATGCTGAAGCTACATACCAGGCTCTCCTATTGGGGGAAACGTCCTTCCCTAGAGCTGAAGATGAGCGTGAGGAAGTTGAATGGTTTGTCAATCAAGTACTACGGAACTGGACTATTCTCTGCGGGCGAGGGTGGAGCGAAAAAGACCTCGGCCAAGGTGGAAGAGGCATCTTGAGTCGCGGAGTTCTCGACATTCTTTACAATGCAGCCATGAAGACTTACCACTCGACATCCATTCTGCGCTCATTATTCCTCGTCCACCTTTCCGTTGCCGAATTCGATCTCGCTTTCAAGGCTTTCGACTCATATCTTGAGATTGTCAAGAAGGGTAAGGCCCGTGTTGACAAGACTGGACACATTGAACCTAGTCTGGACGACGATGCCACAGTGCTCGAGACGATCGCTCAATGCATCCTTGCTCTTTGCAGATATGGCCAACATCCTGCCGCTGAAAAGGCGTACCATCTTGGATTGGAGTTGGAGGACTGGCTGGCCAAGCTACCTCAACTTACCTCCCAAGACAACCCTACGCCGGTCATTTCAGAACATGACGAACTCAACGCGCCACACCCTCCTGTGCCACCTCATACTATCGCTCTGGCATGGCAAGCCATCGGTCTGTCTCAGGCCAACTGGTCAAGAATCACATATGAGGCCTCCGCAAGGACCGAGATCCAGCAAAAAGCAATTCGATGCCTAAGGAAATCTCTATCAGCTGACCTTGGACGATCGAAAGACATCAGGAGTTTCTATGCTCTTGGTTTGCTCCTAGCTGAGCGACGAGAACTGACTGCTGCGATCGAGACTGTAAGAACCGCCTTGACAGCAAGCAAGGATCAGGAAGAAAACTACGATTTGGTATATGGACCATACTGGCAAGAACGATCTTTGATCCCTGTGTGGCATCTCCTGGCTCTTCTCCTCAGTGCTCGACAAGACTACAGCATGGCCTCAAGGGCATGCGAGGGTGCTCTGGAGCAGTTCAAGGATAATACTATCTTGTTTGGAAAGGCTGATCAGGCGTTCAGGAGCGAGCACCTAAATGAAGCAGAGAAGGGCGCCGCATCAGAGGACCGACACGGTCTAGTTGATGACATGGATGATGCGGAGAAGGAGAGCATTCTGGAAGTGAAGATGACGCAGCTTGCATTGATTGAGTTGAATGATGGTCCTGATGTGGCTGTGAATGCTAGTTTTGAGCTGTTGACACTATTCTCGAGATTGTTTGGAAATGTTGCTGCATCACCAACACTCAACCCCCCCAAAGCTCTGGAACCACCAAAGACTTCTGGTACGCTTAGGAGCATCAGGGGAACTATTTTCGGTGGCGCCGATAGATCGAGACCGCCTACGAGACAGGTCTATGCTCCTCCTGGCGACAGAAACCCCCGACCCCAGACTGCGGCAACAGTGCGAAGTAGTGCACCGACTATTCAGGTTACTGGAGATACCGGATCCGCAGCAGAATCGCGGCCACGAACATCGGCGTCTTCTGTCCGTCGCAATAGGAGTGCTACGGGTAGAAGCAATAGCCTTCAGAAGCGTGAGCGAAGCCACAGCCGACAGCGATCTTCCAGTATTGGAGCTATCGGAGCTTCACATGGACCTACAGTTGTCGATGGCGATGTATTCTTTACACCAGCAAATGTTGAAGACCAAGAGAAGGAGCAACAGTCAGACTTCTTCACATACTCGAGTAAACGACAATCCGCCAGCAGAGGTTCATCTTTCAGAAAGCAACGTCCGATTGGACACCTCAACTCTTATCTTTCCACACAATCTAAGTCTACTGACTACTCTGAGCTATCAGTCGACAACGCTTACGCCTCTACCTGTATCCTGCCTTTGATCCACTTCCCTAAGGACAAGGAACGATCTCAGCGAGCCGCCCTCTTAATTCGAGTTTGGCTTATGATTGCCGGTTTCTACCGCCGCGCAGGTATGAAGGACGACTGCAAGGGGGCTGTCACAGAGGCACAACGACTCATTCAGAGTCTCGAGTCCGATCTGGCTAGAGATCCTTCAGGCTCTGGCGCCCTAAAAAGTCTTGGCTGGGCTGAAAAGAAGAGTGTTGAGGATCTCTGGAGTGACTTATACGCAGAGGTAAGACTGGTCTCCTTTTTATACTATATACGCAAGTCAGCTAACATCATCGCAGCTTGGACAATTATCTTTGTCTAAAGGAGCACCATACACAGCTCGCAGTGACTTTGAGACCGCTTTGACGCATACGCCAAACCATCCCAGCGCCATTGTCGGACTCTCCAACATTCTGCTCGATATTTACAGTGAAGATCTCCTTCCGCCATCCCCTATCCCTCCTCTGGACGACCCCTTTAATCCCAATGCTGGTAACGACCTTGTCCCGGCTTCAAGTAGTTATGATGTCCCCTCCCTCCCATCCACGCCACTTGGCCTCGGCCCTGCAAACACGCAATCTACTCCCAAGCCACCAATGGACGCCGACGAGCTACCTGTCGCCTATAAGGCAACACGCCTGCCCCTTGTCGATCGTCTCGCTGCCCGCGATCGTGCATACGCACTGCTTTCTACGCTCACTAAACTCGGCTCCAGCTGGAACTCATCCGAAGCATGGTTTACTCTGGGCCGCGCCTATGAGGAGAGTGGACAGCCTGAGAAGGCCAAGGAAGTGCTTTGGTGGTGTGTGGAACTTGAAGAAGGAACCGGTGTTCGAGATTGGCGCTGCTTGACTGGTGGAGGTTATATTATCTAGAACGGAATATGCTGTCTAGACATTCGATGCGTTTGTTCTAAATACTGGCTTTTCAAAAGGTGGAATATAATAATAAGGATATGTGGTTTCTCCTTGTGCCTGCTGTGGTTATCTGTGGTGCCTCCCGTCTTCTCTTCGATATATGCAACCTCTTCAAGACATCATTTGTTAGCCTGTGATTCGCAACCTCTGAAGTTCGCGCCCTCCGTAATTGTTCCAAGTAGCTTGCCTCTCCTACGCTGGTAGACAAGATCTGACACGAGGACTCAATTATGGAAGATGCCTACGTAACATACGTGATCAGTCAATCATTGAACAGGTTCTTAATGGAGAATTGTATTTATATCATCATTGTCCAAGTCTCTCCATGCTACTATACTTCCTCCTCCTTCACCAGTCTTCATGCACTGGAAAAAAAGACCCAGCCGCCCTATGAAATGAATAAAGAAAAGGGGGAATATTCGTTTTGACTGAGAAAGACAAAGAAGACGATTCTTTTTAGCTCTAATATGTTTTTGTCCGCAAAACTCCCTGAACATGCGCCGCGAGGCTCCCATACACCCATCCCCAGTCATCATCATCGTGAAGCTCAGTCTCGTCATGCTCAAATCCACCGTGCTTGCTATTCAGGCACGGGTATATATGTCTCCCTATCAAACTGCAAGCATCTTATTTTTGATTTTATCTTATTTTTATGGTTTTTGTCCTTTTCTTTACTGCCGAGACTTGAGGAGATTTTGCAAGTAGGAAGCAAACTGCCTCTTATCCGTCGACGTCGTGAGAGATCGTAGAAAGTCGTCACCGTTGACTCCGAGGCTAGGGAAAAGGTTGTTCTGCAGTTCCTGGATGAAAACATCGCCAGTCTTGGTGTAAATAATCTGCTCCAGACCTGCAATCTCTGTGAGGACTTGCTTAGTCTGGGCATCTTGGAAGGGGCGGAAGTTGGGGTTCTTGATAACCTCCCAGCAGGTCGAGTGGAATCTGTCGATCATGAACTGCTCGAAACCAGGGAATGCAGGGTTCGGGCTGCCGGAAGGAGCTGTTGGGTTTTGTGAGATAGTTGCGACATCGGGTCCGCCCCAGATAGCTGCCATTCTCATCATAAGCGTAAAGGCAAGTCTGCTGCTGGTAACGTTTCCCTCGAGAGTCTTGGCGAGCTCGATAATAGACGAGATCATGGGCTCGAAGAAGCCTTGGTTTGATTCACTAACAAGAACGCCGTCCAGTCCATTGTTTAGAATGATCTGGAGGAAAGAGAGGTACTCCCTCCTCAGCTCGCCCAGCTGGATCTCATCGTCTGTTCCTGCAATGGGTTCTGTAAGCCCACCGAAGATTCGCTGAAGCAGAGGTGTTAGAAGCATGTTAAGGACTTCGTAGATCTCCGCCTTAAAGCCGAACACGACCTGATCCAACAAACGCAGGAACATGGCCATCTCATCCTTAGATGAACTCTGAGACAGCAGACCCTCGATCCACTGCGGTAATTGAGGCAGTACAGCAGAACCCAGAACGCCCAAAAGCTTGGAGAAAGCCGAGCGGCAAGCAGTGCGAATTTCGGCAGATGAGTTCAATTGGTTCAGGGCAATCAGGATGGCTTCAGCAGCACGAGAGAACTCGTCAGAGACGGCCTTGTCGGGTGGTCCGTGAGCATTGGAGGTGACGCCTGGAGTCCAGTCTGAGAATCCGTGGGCAAGCGTACCCAAGGCCATAACAATATGGTGCACCTGAAGGGCTGCCTGAGTATCTCCAGCCTTGGCTCGCGGGAGGTGGCTTTCCATATCTGTGAATAGGGGATCCATCACAGATCGAGCGTACAAAGCTTGCTTGTCGGCTGGTGTGCTCTGAGTAGAGGAGATGCATCCGATAGCCTCGAAGAGGTACAGCTGGCTGGTGAAGAGAGCATCCGCGGAGTGGTCAGACTCGTCTGAAGACATGTCATCATCAGCGTCGTCTCCAGGGACCTCAGCCTTGATAGGCAAAAGATCCCCAATTGACTGGATAACTGTCTCCGCGACGTTGCCAACTTGAGCGCGCAGCTGCTTAATGAAACGGTGGAACAGGTACCACGACCGGGTCTTGATGCGAACATGGTCATGGTGTACCAAACGCACAAAGTTCTCGAGAACTTGAGGGATGTACTGTGAAAGATGGTTTTCGAAAACAACGCAGTATCTGACGCAAATCTCCATGTATTGAAGGAGAATCGCCGGATGAGAGAAGTTGGCAATGCCTGTACTATGTTAGAGCCACCGCACTACAATCAATAATTCACCAAGGAATGCTTACCAGATTCGACCATCTTCTGCATCATGACCACCAATCTCTCCGAGGCTTCGGTAGAAGGCTGGTTCTTGGTTCCCAACCCCTGGTTGGGAAGCGCAAGCTCGCCGAAGAGGTACATCTCATACAAGGCCAGATCAAGATCTCGCCAATCCATTTGCGAGCCCTGCTGGTCCAACGTTTGGAAAGTGGTGGCAACCAGATTGCTCAGCATGTCCATGTATAGTGGCTGGTCAATAGCAGCAATGGACTTTTGCAGGTTCTGGAGCTTGCGACGCAGCTCCTGGAACTCAGCTTCGTCGGTAAGTTCATCCTCATCACCCCAAGTGGTAGTCTCATCGTATCTCATTTTGTGAATGATGGCATCTAAGATTGGCGCAAGCATGCCACCATAGTCTTGGTGAACCACGGTGAGTTTACGGAGGAAGGTAAGCAGATCAGTCAGGGCGGGGATGACTGAAGAGCAGACCTCATCATATTCGTCAGAGAAGAAGCGCAGAAGGAAAGGCAAGAAGCCGTGGAGATGCTGGTTAGCTCTAGCGCGGGTATCATCACTGATCTGGCTGTCCTCGAGAGCCCGTACGATATCGGAGAGGACGGTGTTAACTAATTTGGCGACTGCCTCAGCCAGATCCGTATCGTATCGAGAGGTTCCCTTGTACTCGCTCAGAGGAGGACTAGCAACTAATTGTTCGACAATTTCTCGAAGGTTGATGAAGGAGATCATCTCCATCTTGTCTGAGGAACGCATTTTCTTGCCGCATATCTCATTCAAGGTGTCGATAGCGGTATCACGAACCTTGTCCTCACCTGAACTGGTCGGTCGTCCAACTACTGGCAGCAAGAGTCCAAGCATATCCTGACTGATAACCAGGGAGATGTCCATCCAGCTGACCCACTTGCCCAGGACCTTGAGAACAAGTTCTACAACAGTGTCGCTGTCCGAGTATTGGGTAAGAAGCTGCTTCCAGGACTCAGACACTTTATGCATATCCTGAGCTCGGAGTTGGTCCTTGAGCTCAGTATTTCGCTTGGCTTCGTTGTTCTGCCGTGACAGAAGCATATCGGCGATCTCGTCGTGAATGGAGCCGAGGATTCGAAGATAGAAGACGACACCCGGAACATTGTTGGTGTTTGTTGAGAGGCCTGTCAACTCGAGGTGGTCGTCGAGGAAGCTCTCCCAACCGTTTTGGTAGAGGAAGACAAACAGATACGTCAATGTTTGTGTGAGTTTGTTCTGAAGGTGTGCAGGGTCGGGTTCTTGCTGAGCGTTGGGACCGTATGTTTGCCGGCAGTATTGGAGTAGAGTATCTTTGAGGAAACCAAGGCTTGCTTGGTCAAGACCTTGTGTGTGGACCGCATAGTTGACCACCTCCAAACAGACCAGACGGACGACTTCTGATGTTCGAGGAGTTCGAGCGAAGAGAGTGGTACAAGCTTGCCATCCTGAGGGATCGGTTCGTAGTTGGTTCAGGTATTCGAAAGCTTGTTCTTTAATAGATTGATCGGAGGTGGGGTTCGAGAGGATCCCGACAGCGTTCTCGATCTGTGCCATTGAGATAGATGTCAGCAACGAAATGTTGTCATATTACTGCGAGCTTCATATGTTACCCAGACCGTCGGGTCGGGCCTCGAGAAGGTAGATGTTGGGCCGATGCGGCTTGGCCATGACCAAAAAGTGACGGCCAAAGTGGCGGGGCACGAGAGTAACTCAGATGTCATGGGGACAAAGAAATAAAGTATCAACTCACCTGAGCCTCCATGATCGAGGTTCAGTTGCAATATACGCTCGAGATAATGATAGAGAGAGACGTTTCAAGTATGGATGATGCTGCTATAACTCCGGCAGCCTAAGGTACACAATATCCAGCATATCTAGTTATGGCAGAAATATAGAGGGTCAAGGCGAAGGCGAGCAAGGCTACCGAGGGGTCATGCCTAACTGAAGGTAGATTCGGATTGGATGATGGGAAGAAAAGAGCCCGTATAATGAGCAGGGGTGCAGCTGATGGGCCTGGAGCTATTCCAGAGACGGCTGCGGTAGTATGAGCTGCTAGGGGCACGAGAACAGCAATTTTGAGGCGGTGACAGCAGTTTTGTCGTGTGAAGACTGCGTTTTTATCTCGAGATGTGCTATTTCTAAAAGTCGGTGCGTTGAACTTCTTGGGCTTGTGTCAATGTGGGGTAACTCTGTCGGCACATGTTCGGCAAAACGATCCCCTCTCTCTGCACTTGACGGCTCTCTCATCTTCATGAACCTCACCTCTTGATCAAGACAGCTCAACATTCGTATCTATCTTGAATGAAACATGACAGCAGCTACATCTTTTCAAGACTCAGGTTTGTATGCGGATCATGGATCTATCGTCATGCACAAGACCAAGAACAGATAAGCGGTAACTGCCTGAGCTACTTTGAGCCATATTACCAACTCAAACACTTACACTGTAGCCCAATGCTTCAATATGGATACCATCGACGCCGAATAACCTCATTCGTACAGACACATACTCATTATGGAAGCCCCAAAAATCGACATCCTTCGACATGAACGGGTACCTTAAGCCCTATCCAGTGGGTCAGGGCAACCTACCCAAGCTTTCCTCGATCTCCATCTTTTGGAATAGGTCTTTTGATCTCGAGATCGTTACTTTGATATGACAAAGGCGATATCTTGGAAGTTTTGCAACCTGCAAGACCAGACTCAAACATTAGTCGAAGCTATTCATGTCCCGGCTTCATTGAGGTTGTTTTGGTCTGGTGCAAGCATTGGAGCTATGAACCTTCATAGTGTAACTTTTTTGACGGAAAACGTTATACTCGCACGACGTTGTTTTCGAGATCGACTTGCCATTGTTTCGAGTCTGAATCTGTTGAAGCTTGACCAGGCTATGCGATTCTTGGCATGACAACTCGTCTTGGACGACCACGGCTATTTTTGTGTTCGATCACATGAGCTTCGGGACTTTACCTTGAGGCGAGACTGCCCATTGTATGTTTTTGCACCTTTGTGCAAAATACAGGTGCAAGAACGCTTCCAGTGAAGGCCTCATGTGCGAACCGTACTGAGGTGAGAGAAGCTATCATTAATATGATGCAGACAGAGTATACGAACGGTAGCTTCCGTGAGAGGCAATAACTCTCGGTAGCCTTATTGTTTCGAATCTTCAGACTGCTAGATCTGTGTGAGGTTTCAGTGTTCAGAGACAGATTAACTTCGGAGTCAGAGAGCCGTTAGAAGTATCGATGCAACGGGTCGCAGAAAGCATTAAGCATAATATACAGGCCCGGAATGTAATCGAAGCCCGAGTATCAAAGTGATAAGATCATCGAAACTCTTATAGGTAGTCAGAGGGTTGCGAGAACGTAGCGACAGGCGCTTCGCATAACAAAGTGCGTTTCGAACATCTTTCGCATGAGCTCATTGAGAAGAGCTGAAGGGCGATCGACTAATAGCCGATGTTTCGTTCGGGGAGTATCTCGGTAACTCGTCTCAGCTCCCTCTTTGAAATTCGGATAGAAAGAGGAAGCGACAAGCATCACTGGTCAATATTGGCGCATGACGTGAACTTGAGATCAGCACCTTGTGGGCCGTGTTCTTTGTTTCCTTGTAATGGCTTGCCAAAAAGTGACGATCGACAAGACATTCGCTGAAACAATAGAGATCGACAAGCGCTCGGCGCTTCAAACGTGCGAAGACATCTTTGGTGAGCGGCGGCGCGATTATGAACAGACTAGAGGCTTGTTAAGATAGAGATGACTCGTCATCTTCATTTCCCCATCTATTCCTCTTCTTTGATCTTGTAAGGAATAGTGAAAGTTGAGATGTTTAATGTTTAGCTTGGCTTCGTTTTGTTTAACAGAAAAGTGCCTAGTTTGACTTAGAGTCCCCTATAATTCTCCGTTATAGGGGAGTCCGTCACACTATTATGGATGGGTGTTCTTAATATGCGGACTATTGCTGCAGCCAACGATTCGTTGCCAAGCTTCCATTGACAGGCGGGAAGATCGTCAGGAGAAGGGCGGCAAGCCACTACCGGCTGGGGCATTGGTTCACAGTCAGCCAAGCCAGGCAGCCAGGGTTCAGTTCTGCAGGGGTTTTGTGGTGAAGTGAAGTAATGGAAGTGAGTTGATACCGCTATTGAAACGCTACGCAAGCAAAGACACGGCAGAGAGAATGACGAGAATAGAAGCACTTTTTCTAAACTATTGATGTAAGTGACAATTGTCAAGAGATTAAAATCGATGATCGCCTTGTCTTACGGGCAATCCGAGTTCACATTATCGTGGGTGGACCTTTTGGCTTTGAAGCCGCGTAAGACAAAATATTGTGGTTCTTTGTTTCATCACGACTCGACGTCATGGGATGGAGTCTAATGTTCTGTTTTGATCAGCAAAGTCCAACTCGCCCTCAGGGTGTCATAAGAATTGGCCCCTGGAGCCCAAGAGACGAAATAATTTGATCACCTTATGCCAGCTTAGGCCAGCATTTGGGCTACTTTATTTCTGTACCCTAAGCCTTAGAGGACAACTCTTCTGACACCCACCAGCTCGCTCAAGCCGACAACAAGAAGAGTAAAAGCTCGGGGCTTTATTACATCGTGTGACAAGGGAGTGTACATTTTAATCGCGGGAATAAGCTCAGCTGCCAGGCCCAAGATTGGACGAATCCAATCATTAGTCGAATGGCCATAGCGGCTCCCATGTTTCCATTCGCTTTTGAGGCCTCTCAATGTGATGATGATGCGAAATAACCGTCACCGCCTCAGAAAGAAACAGAAATTTCTTGAGATTCGAAGAGTAAAGCTTCCTTCACCGACACATCAGATAGTTAGATCTAGACTCAATTCTCTTACCATTTATTCGTATCTACTACTAACATTAATCTCTCCAAGTAACCCCCAGTGAGGTAACCGAAATACATCTTAAAGCAGCCTGCAACTTACAGTGCCTACAGCATCTAGGGCCCAACTATGGCGGCCAAATCTTCCGCTTTTAGAAGGCTGTGATCTCGGTTCTTGTTTGATTGTGATGTTGCACTTTCTAACCCTCCCTCATATCCACATATGGCAATCAGAGAAACAAGCTCATCGGATCGGAGGACTAAGACGTCAGCTGTTGTTTCTATCTTGGGGAATTGAGATTGTTTGTTCAGCATAGACTTTTGGTAGCCTCACCTTAGAGTACAGCACAGCTCAGCAAGTACGCAATAGCCTATCCGATGCCAAGTTTTGACAAGATGCGCGCATCGGGATTTGATTTTAATGGGGACTTGCTTGGGATGGCGATACCTGGCGGGTGGGTTCCTGCATTAATCTAAGTTGAGAGGGTGGCGCAAAAGACCCTTGTAAACAGGAGGCTCCTGACTCCATAGGGCGTTTAGTCTTGTCTCAGATTTTGTGCAACCATCAGAGATCCAATCAGATTTCCTACGCGAGCACTGGATAAAGAAAAAATCAGCTGTCGTTGTCAGAATGAAGGACAAGTCTGTAGTTTCATTGGCTATTACGGTTTATGCAGTCAGACACTTCTTGATCAATGCTGGACGGGTACTATGTGTTATTAGGATTTTGTTTCAATATTCTGGAATAGAGCAAAGACGCAAAAGTTCTTTCATAGCGTTAGAACCGTCTTCTAAGTGCCACTCGCCAAGCTGCAGATAAGGCGAAACAAGACATGTCTTGGCCTTTCCTGACATAAAAAACAATTCAGGGTTCTTGCAACAATGGTTAGTTTTCGGTCCGATGTTTTGTGCATAGAGGTTCTTTTCTTTTCGCAAGCGAACACTTGAAAGAGGCACTTCAACGAGTTGATGATATCCCTGCATAAAAAGGGATGGAGACTTGCACAACCTGGAAGTCCTTAGGCGGTCCGAAAAATAACCAGGACGCAGAAGTCTATTGACAAAATAACTTAGACTTGCTTAGGCTCTAAGCTCAAGGTAAACTGTCCTAACTTTTATAATACTCTTAGCTAAGTCTCGCTTTTTCTTCGACCCACCTGGTCCTTTATTTTAGCGGTCGGCCTCCAGAGGAAGGTGCACTCGACCAATGCTAGCAACTACCCCAGTAAAAAAGCGCCAACGTTCGCCAATTGCCTGGTCCAGGAAATAAACCCCGGTTTCGCCTTCCAGGAACTATCCCTGATCAACATGCACCAAGCATCGATCCTCATATGCCGCGCTCTAAGCTACGGCATACTGCTGAACTCTTGCTGAGAGGAGGAGCTGGCAAGAGACGGTAAGAAACAAATTAACAATCGAGTCAAAGAAACGGTGACTTTTTACCAAGCTCGGAAGTTCTTCGCACTTTTTTATCATCTTTGTGACAGATAAAACAAGCATCTTCAGCCTCTTTCAATCCTCGACGAACCGTTCGCTGAACTTGGCGCCGCGAAACTTGCCCCCTCCTCAATTGAGCAGCCACTCAGCATGCAAGCAGGGCCTGCCGATCCCTGGGTGTGGCGGAATCCACTTTGGACGACCGAGATGAAGAGGGTGAACAGAGTGTGAATGGGCGATGCTCGACTGGTCCACTGAACGACAACGGCCATCGATACCTCCCTTCCAATGCAAGGGATCAGATTTCGTTCCCAAGATTTCGATCAAATCCCTGGGCTTGACAAGCCGCTAAGAAAGATTCAATCCGAAAACTGGAGGCAAGCCTCACGAACTCGTCAGCTCGCAGACTAGACAGCATCAACTGCACTGACTACCAAGGCCATTCCTGCAAGCCATGCTATCTATCTGCCGTGCTCCTAGTCATGGCCCATGGTCCGTGGTTCAGAAGAGATGGTGATCTAACAGCCAACTCTCAAGGATGAGATGGGGCTGGGATCCACAGGCCACAGAAGGCTCCATGGGTGACCTTCTCTGAAAGACTGGGGCAAGCGACATGGCTTCCCCCAGCTTTGATGCTAGACTCACACACTTCGTCCCATGTTTGTTGCCTTTACTGGAACCCCCCTTGGACCCAGAATGGATGGATGGCCTCCTTGGACCATGGTACGTAATCTCCGTATAGGAGTTGCTGCTCTATGGATCGATATCGCTATTAATATGCGACCATCCTGCGACCTCAATCGCATCTTTTCTTCCCTTTCTCTTCAGCCCAAAAAGCCATTTCTAAGCTGCTAGTTTCAGAACATTTGACTTAGGTCGTCCATTCTTTCACCACTTTCGATATCAACTTATTATTTCAAGCTTGTAGCTTCAGACTTTCTTTACCAAACTTACAATCAAATCCGCCAAGATGCGTTACTCTACTGCCGCCGCTGCTCTCCTGGCCTCTGGTGCCATGGCCCACTACGACGAGGTTTCCAAGGTCTACGAGACCAAGCGAGTTACCATCACCTCTTGCGGTCCTGAGGTCACCAACTGCCCTGCTGCTTCCACCGTTGTCAGCACCACCTCTTACCCCGTCCCTCCCAAGGTCACCTCTGCTCAGCAGGGTGCTGACACCACTGAGGCCTACGAGGTCCCTGAGGTCCCCGCTACCACCGAGGCTCCTGAGGCTCCTGCCACCACTGAGGCTCCCATGACCACCTCTACCATCTACTCTACCAACGTCAAGACCATCACCTCTTGCGGTCCCGAGGTCCCCAACTGCCCCGCCACTGGTGGCACCCCCGTTGTTGTTACTGAGACCATTGCCGTCTCCACCACCGTCTGCCCCGTTGAGCCTACCGGTGGCAGCGAGAAGCCCGGCAAGCCCGAGACTCCCGGCCAGCCTGAGCAGCCTGAGACCCCCGAGCAGCCTGAGCAACCTGAGCAGCCCGAGACTCCTGGCCAGCCTGAGAAGCCTGAGACTCCCGAGCAGCCTGAGCAACCTGAACAGCCTGAGCAACCTGAGCAGCCCGAGACTCCCGAGCAGCCTGAGAAGCCTGAGACTCCCGGAAAGCCTGAGCAGCCTCCCGCTCCTCCTGCCGAGACCCAGCCCGCTCAGCCTCCTACTCCCGAGCAGCCTGGCCAGCCCGGTAATGGCACCGTCCCTCACCCTCCCGTCTACCCCGCTCCTCCCGCTACCGAGAGCGGTGCTAAGCCCATTGTCCCTCCTACTCCCGTCCCTGGCCAGCCCGAGCAGTGCGTTCCTTCTCAGTCCGTCAAGGCCATCACCAAGGAGTACACCACTGTCATGACCAGCGTCGAGTACCAGACCGTCCAGGTTCCTTGCGCTACTGGCACCACCCCCGAGAACCCCCAGAACCCCCAGAACCCTGAGCAGCCCGGCAATCCTGGTGAGCCTGAGGGCCCTGCTCCTACTGGACCTGCTGTTCCTCCTCCTGCTACCACCCCCATTGGCGGCGGTAACCAGACGTGAGTACTCTGATATCTGTTTATACTTGAATACATTACTGACTTTGCCCCAGCGTTCCCGGACCTACTCCTCCCGCTGTTGCTGGTGCCTCTTCCTTCGCCGGCTCTGCTATCTTCGCTGCCGTCGCTGGTTTCGCCGCTTACATGCTGGTTTAAGCTATTCCCTTTTCCAATTGTATCTGTTTAGGCCTGCTGGCTATGGCATCTCATGAGCTTTTCTGTATTTAAATGTCTTTCAATGTACAATACTCGGCTAGACTTTTAAATACCACCGCTATCTTGGCGTTTTTTACTTTGTATATTACATCTCTAATCTGCAATCCGGTATCTGCGATTGGAAGTTATTCTTTATTGTCTAATTGAAAGTTGATGTGTCTATTTGACGAACTTTTGCTGTGATCTACTGGATTTCTCTGTTACATCCTTTGAAAGACGTTGTAAATGGGGCGCACTGGAATGCCGCCAAGGGGTTTAGTCAAGCCACCCGTCTGCAGACCCCTGGCAAAGCTGGGGTTCAGAGACGCCAATTTGTTTGCTCCACCTGTCTCATTTCCCAGATCTTGCATCTCGGCGAGATCTAGGTCTGAGGCACTGACTTTATTTTACGAATTTCTTAGTCGAATACGCGGATTGTCAAATGTCGCTTGCCTTATTATTCAGTATTTCCGTCTAGATCGAATAGGAAGGCCACATGGGCTCGATGTTTGTAGATGACATGGGTAGTGGAAAAGGTGAAACGGCTCATTTGATATTGGATGAGTTTGCTTGGATGTGGTGCGAGGTCATGCACAGGGGCTTTAAATTCCCGAGTCTGGTGATGTTCCCTTTTCGGACTGAAGTTGCTGGGATTGGATAGCTAGCGGTTAAATTGAATGTTTGCCTGTTCATACTGCCTATTGTTCCAGTCATTATTGCGTGGAGAGTAACACCAGCTTTCAAGACTTTTCGCTCAAACAGAATATTCTACATAAATGTGAGAGGAAAGACTTTTATTATTACATCCTCTGTGACTGATGGAACTGTGAAAGGGTAAATGAATAGAATACTCTTATGGCATCCACCCATACTCTCGAGTCGAGACAAGATACCCTACACCAACACACTCTGGGAAGTCGAAGTCATGATTCGGAACCAAACAATTGGTTGCTATTCTATATACCGCAAAGTGTTCAACTGATCTGATAGATGTATCTTCATTTTGCTCTGAGTTCTTTGCTCAATTAACGATTATGGTTGGCAGGCCCTTTGCGAGTTGCCTTCTGGTGTTGTCGCAGCTACATACGAAAGGCGTGGGATACTCAACGTCGAGATCACGCATAGGTAGGACTAATCTGCGAGAACGTGATAGGTTACCTACTCAGGCACCAAGCTATCATGGCTTTAGATCGGTAACCTCCGGATGATAGGACATCCCCGCATGAGGCGTTGTTGATATTTGGGGTAAGTTGCTGTGTGTTACGAGGTTTGGGGAAATGCGGCGCTAACTTAAACATCAGGAGTTGTATGTACATTGACATTCTGTCAAACAAGCTTCTAGCTTAGTTCTATGGTGCTAGTCTAGCTAGTCTCAAAAGAGAGTCTGACAATATCTCCGATTGACAGTGTTTGATGCTTGTTATATGGGGCACTTTGGGTTCGACCTGGGGAATCTTGGTGTTAGACGTCGTAACAACAATTGGCAGTGGAAGCACCCTTCAAAGTTACCTAGGTATCTAAGAAGAAGAGTACTTTTGTCATAATTAATATTTGGAAATGGTATTAGAGCGTTCCTTGGTCGGCCGGGTACCAGTATACCTACGCTTGGATTCAACACAACGATGGCCGCTTCAAGTCGTACCTGTAATGACAACAACACTCAAGTTGGTTTCGAAACACATCGATCATGGGAGCTATAAACCATCAACTGTCCTTCATTTATATCAACGGAATCCATCATCTATAGGAATATCAACACAGAACCACACGTTCCATTTGAGTCCCCATCTCGAATGTGTGGGAATGAAACGAAGGAGTAGGAGGGAGGAACACTCGCCACTTTGGGAATGCCCGACAACCATTCGCATCTCATTATCATATGGCTTGTAATTGACCTCCTGAGTTGTCTCTAGAGTTGTGGATCCTTCACGATGGACGATTGGTAGCATCGCTGTGACTTTGCTGATAGGAGAAGGAGCAAGCCCTGCGCACAGAAAGGCAACGCCCAGAATCAACTGCCCCGATCGACTCGATGTTAAAAGGGCAACAGCCACCCTTGGTGATCTACTGCCATTCTTTTCCCGAGTCTCGAGTCCCGCGTAAACTCAACTTCTACACAACCCATCCCCTCTGATAGTTTATACCATAAACCCTCCTCAACAGTCGTTCGTTCCCATCACTGTTATCATGAATTCTTCTCACGTTACTATCGCCCCGCACGAGAAACCAGCTACGACCGATGGAAAGGCTACAATCGTCGACAGGCGTCCCTCGCTAACAGGCGAGACCGCTACCGTCCTTGTTGAAGATGCCGTCTTTGGTGAGGTCACTGAAGAAGGACCCAACTTTCGTAGTGTAAGCATCCAAACATTCCTTGCCCTTGTCCTGTATGCATCTAACAAATTCCAGTTGAGTTGGATCGGTACCATTGCTCTCATGACCAAGACCCAGATAGGACTCGGTGTGCTTAGTATTCCCGCCAGTTTCGACACACTCGGTCTCGTCCCAGGCATCCTTTGTCTTTGCGCAGTTGGCGTCATTACTACATGGTCTAGTTACATGATTGGTGCCTTCAAGCGCAGACATCCCGATACCTATACTGTCGATGATGTAGCCTTCAAAATATTTGGCAAAATCGGTCGCGAGATCACAGCTGTTATGTTTTTGCTGAGTGAGTAACGGACTTGACCCCTTCCTCCTGCTTTGCTCCCACTAACACAGTCGCGTCAAGACTGGGTCTTTGTCGCTGGATCCGCCATGTTGAGCATGTCGATCGGCTTCAACGCTATCTCTGATCACGCTGCCTGTACTGCAATCTTCGTCGCGCTTTCCGCTTTCCTCGCCTTCTCTCTCGCAAGCATCCGAACGCTTAGCAAGATGGGATGGGTTGCCTGGATTGGCCTTACCTGTATCATGACTGCTATCCTGATCGTCACTGTTGCTGTTACACAACAAGAACGTCCCCGTATGGCTCCTATACCACTCAGGGTTTGGAAATCAGACTGGAAGAAGTTCGGCAACCCTACTTGGCCCCAAGCTTTCAGCGCGATTAGCTGTCATGTCTTTGCTTATGCCGGTACTCCCGCCTTCTTCTCCATAGCGGCCGAGATGCGCGAACCGGAGTTATATTCTCGTGCGGTACTTTGGTCCCAGGCATTTATAACTCTAGTATACTCAACCATTGGTGCCGTTGTTTACTACTACTGCGGCTCTTATGTTTCGTCCCCCGCCCTAGGGTCTGCAGGCCCCTTCTTCATGAAGATCTGCTATGGCTTTGCCCTTCCTGGACTACTCGTCACTGCCATGATTGTCACTCATGTAAGTCTATCGCGATCCTCGAAATGGCCTGATCGATCGAGATTCTGACTGACGGGCATTAGATTCCCGCAAAATACTTGTTCCTCCGTATCCTCCGGGGTTCTGACCATCTCTCTCGCAACAGCCTTGTTCATTGGGGCACCTGGCTTGTTTGTACAGGCGGTACGGCCTTGATCTCCTACATTATCGCCAGCGCTATCCCTATTTTTGGCTCTCTCGTAGCGCTTATTGGCGCGACGTTTGGGACAATTCTCTGCTTCCAACCATATGGAATCATGTGGCTGTACGACAACTGGGGCAGCAAGAAGCGCGGTGTGGCATGGGCACTCATGGTCGTCTGGAGTATCTTCGTTATTGCCATTGGTACTGTCATCATGGTCCTCGGCACATACGGGACTATTCTGCAAATTGTGGGCGCCAGCGAGAGACGAACAGGCACTCCCTGGTCTTGCGCGGACAACTCCAAAGAAGTTGCTCCAGATCTCCCAGAGCACTAAGTTTGTGTGGCTTCTCTTTGTTTTCCTTTCGTCTTTCTTTCATAGTGTATGATTAGAGATATCCGATATATTGTAGTTCAGCAAACCCCTATAGGCCAATAGCCCTTGGATTAGAAGAAAAGTATGTTTACCAAACTGTCTTCTCTTATTGAAAGCGACACGTTGTATTGCCATTTGATCTTGGGTACAATTTGCGTTAAGCTTAAGTTATCTGACCAATCATTTATTCTCCGGTCAGTGATGCTCGGCCGGGGGCGCCAAACTCTCGGTGCAAGTCACGGATTCCCAAATAGGCATCTCATGATGTTTGGATCCGCCGAGATGCAAGCCAAGATCTTGGCATACTTCATGTTATTGATACTGCTCAGAAAGCGTCAAAGTGAACAGAGACAATATATATCTGTCCAATTTGGAGGGTCTGGCAACGAAAACATATATGAACTTATGGGGATTCCAACATGTCAGGACATGGCTCAGTCTCGATCTGTTCTTGATACGTAAAGTTATCACCAAGGTACCTAAGACGGAACATAGTACGTGAGTTCCTATATAGTTGTATACGAGTTTAAAGGCTCAGTTTGAGCCTTAACGTCGACTCCACGATGTGGCAAATGCATTCATTACCTCTGCAGCCCCGGCGACTCGATTCAGAGAAAGAAGTTCCAAGACTTTATCGAATGGCATATTCCATATGAATTCATTTCATTGCACTTTTGGGTGAAAGAAGGCGGAAATGGAACTCCGTAAAAGTCAATTGGTGTCATGAGATGCGAGATTGATTGGTGGCTGATGGAAGGGCCGAGCGATTTGATAACGTTCGTATGGGCTGTTGATGTTCGGATATCGGTAGGGAGCACGTCTAAGAGGGTGCATATGTTGGAGTTCAACTTGACTGGTTTTCAGACTTGGATATAGGTGAAGGTCGTGTGATCAGCAGTTGAGTACTGTGTTAACTCATGGCATTCCAGAAGCTCAAACCAACAAGGTATTATCGAGGAGTTACACTCCGTTGAAGTAAAGGGATGGAAACGAAGCTCCCAAGACACACTCTCGTCGCAGCTCAAACCCTTCAGTTACTTGGACTTCACCGGGTCAACAGCAAATGCTTCTTGCCACATCCGATGGAACTCGGAGCATGGGAAGATATCTAGAAGATGTCAAAGTATCTCCATCGCGGAAGGCTTGAAGCCACCATGAGTTATTGAAGATCGGACCGAGGATTAGTCATGCCTAACCGGAGGCTGTAAGTGGTTAACTCAGGGACCTTTGTCTGGTTGCCGTTGATATCTTGTACCTATGGTCGTGTGATCGACTGATTGGAGGTTGAGGGGGGAACTCGATGCGGGGGAAGAGGCTTTATAGACATTGAAATAAATGTCGATACTTTCGAGGAGGTCGATTCGATCAAGGTACCTAGCAGGAAGCCAAGTCAGAGGACTCAAGCAAAGGTATTAGAGGAATTAGCCACCGAAAGCATAAGAGACGAAATAACTTGGTCATCTTATGCCAACTTAGACCAGCATTCAGGCTGATTTATTCTGGCGCCCTGAGCCTTGTAGTGATGACTGTTGACAGGCAGGCCAGTGATGAACATCCGTTACCGTCCAAGGGATGGTTATGCATAGTGGTCGGTTCAAAGGAGACGCAAAATGCATTACTTGCTAGGGTTGAATCGTATGTTTCTATAGATCCTTTTGAGTCAACGAAAAAATAGTCAATTAAGATATTGTTTGGTAGTTTCTGATGGTGATTCGCTAGCAACCATTGATATGGACATAGCCACTAGAGACAGGAACGGGAGGCTGTGCTATCTTCGCACTCGGAGCGGGGACATGACAACCACCGACTCTCCGACACGGACAAGGAGTCGGACTAAAACGGCCTTGTCTTGTATCACCACTTTAATTCCAACTAGCAATTACACGGGCCGGTTTCACCTCCACTCCACTAGTTCCATCGTTCTTACAGTAAGAATCTGACAGCTCGTGGAAGATGATTTTGCTTTTTGCGGCCGTTGCAATGTGACAACTTGGGGCACAGGGATAGGGCAGTTACGCGTACACGTGTGAATGGATTCGCCTGGAATGGATGGTAAGATAATAGTATTTTGTGGATTGCGTTTAGATTGGCTTGGATATCTAAGCGTAAGATTGTCGGTCCATACATGTTAGTCCACCGCTTGTTGTGAAACGTGAACATACAATTTATTAGTCTCTATGGCTCGGAGACAAATCACTGTGGATGTGCCTATATCTACGGGTATTGTCATTTGTTAGAGTCGGGGTGATTATCATGCATCTCACCAAAGACCTAAACAATTCCCAAAGTCTATATCACAGCAGAGCTACTATTGAGGTTCAAGATGACGCAAGCCAGCAAACAATTAAGCTTGTATTTTAAAGAGTTAGCTATATTGACGGAAATAAACCAAGGTTGAATTGAATATTGTGTCAATGACGCGTAGCTGAATTATTAGCAAGGCACCTTGGCATGAGAGCCCTACGAGGCTATGCATCCTTTGGGAAGCTAGATCGGTTATGATTGGTTGGATTGTGAATGACCCGTTGCTTCGGACTCGCTTCTCGCATTTCTTAGCGTTACATTTTATCTGATCTACAGCTATCTTTATCTCACCAGCAGGGTTCTGATTACCCATGCCCAGTATAGTGCAGAATAAGGATAGAATTCTTTGGTTTTAATGACTATTAACACTACAAGTCAGATGAAGAGGATTATAACCAAAAGTACTCATTATACAGACATAATATTCATCAGAATAAACCAAATGCTGACGGGCTTGAAACAAGAAGAAGCATACCGGTTGATCCTCCACTAGCGTAGCGGCTTCGCATTCCTAGTCTCTAAAATGCTGACACCGCCCCATAATGGAGGCTGACACTTCTGATTCATGATGATCTTTACTTGTTCCAATTGGGTCTCGCCTATCGTCTCTCGCTCAGCGACACGTCCACGCGCTAAAATGCGAGTGCGATAGCTCAGCTTAGCTTAGGATCAATGAGCCTCAATCTAACAGGGCTGTTGCATACACACAAGTCCGAGTCCGACTGTTAGTTACTACTAGAATCAATATTCCGTGTTTTTATAGTCTTTTCATCATGTCTATATTAATGGTTGGATTCCCCGGCCAAGAAGTGTTTTTATCATCATCACACTTCAATCACAACAATCATCTACTCTCACCTTCAACACAGCTTAGATATTAAGCTTATTTCCTTCTATCGTTGAACATTCAAACCATTCGATTTTCATCTTATCACTAAATCAAAATGCCTTACAACATGTCCATCACTCCCGAGGACGCCTTTGGCCCTGACTCTCCCTGCAATCTCGACACCTGCCCCATCGACTACAGTCTGTACGGTTACCGACCTTCTCTCGCCGCCAACATTGTTTTTGTCGTTCTCTTTTCTCTCATCGGCTTTGTACATGTCTATCTCGGTTTCCGATGGAAGAGCTGGGGTTTCATGACTGGTATGCTTCTGGGTTGTATCTCTGAGGTTATTGGTTATGTCGGTCGTATCATGATGTGGTACAACCCTTTCTCTTTCAACGCTTTCATGATTCAAATTGGTAAGTCTCAAATCTTCTATATCCCATCATCATATACTAACAACCTTGTCTTTAGTCTGTCTTACGATCGCTCCCGTCTTCTACACTGCTTCCATCTATGTCACCCTTTCCAAGGCGATCAACTACTTCTCTCCCGAACTCTCCCGCTTCAAGCCTCAACTCTTCATCTGGATCTTCATCCCCTTCGACATCGTCTGCCTCATCCTCCAAGCCGCTGGTGGTGCCATGTCCACTGAATCCGACAGCCAAGTTGGTGTTGATGTCTCCATGGCTGGTCTTGTCCTCCAGGTTGTCGTCCTCGTTGCCTTCATCGCCGCTTTCTCCGACTACATGATCCGATACTGGCGATCTGGTCAAGCTCAGACTTTCGGCTGGCGCATGACTGCTTTCTTCTTTGGTCTCTCTGCTTCCATCATCCTCATCCTCACTCGATGCATCTACCGTGTTGCTGAGCTCCGCGAGGGTTACGATGGTGATCTCATCAAGCATGAGGTTCCTTTCATCATCCTTGAGGGTATCGTCATTGTCCTTGCTGCCGTCGCTCTCTGCTTCGGACACCCCGGTCTCGTCTTTAACAAGAGCGAGGTTACCAACTCCGTCTCTCAGGTTGAGAAGGGTGCCACTTCCGGCTCAGACAATTAAGCATTCGTTGCTACTTTTCAAGAGCCCACGCTCTTGACCTAAAATCTTTCTATTATGGATATGAACTTGGTTATTGTTTAGCGGGGAACTTTCCTTTGTGCAGCGATATAACGACTGGCTTGTGTTTATTTGTTTTGTATTTGGGACGGATAGAACTTGATACCTTACAGCTCTGGCGATACAAACCCGCCATTGAGCTTTGTATGTTGACGGAATAGAATTAGGATGGAACAGATATTTTATGCGAGAAGAACAATTACAATACTTCAGATTTTATATGAAAAGTGCAATCCCATTCAATGAGTGCAGACAGTTATCATTCATCATTAGGTAGACAGTAAGGTGCCCTTCAAAGTGGTTGCTTTATGACGCTTGGCAGCTGTTATAGTATCGCATACTTCAAGTCTAGCTTTGTATATTCTCTCAGCTACCTCGCTCCAACCCAATTAAGAATAGTAACATCCTATTTCTCACGAATATATCACACCTTTTGGTTGCTCTTTCCTCATGGCCCATGATGTACTTCCGCATTAGGAAGCTCCAAGCTCCGATAAGATAAGCCCCGCTCATGGCAGGTACGGCACTTTTGGATGCAGCTTCCCGCAGTAACGGACCAACCACATGACCCAGTTTCCTAACGACGTCTTCCATCTCCAACCTTGGTTTAAACTCCCACCGCTCCCTCTTCTCTTCATCATCTCTTCACCAGATGCTCGCTCTCTTTCGTCTCTCTCCACGACGTATACCAATAACCAGATCCGCAATTACGACTACCCCGCGTCCGTTCGCATACAAGTTCTCCACTTCTTCGCCCATCATGGCACCTCCTCAGGAAGCTCTCGACTTTGTTGACTTTGTCAATGCGTCGCCTACTCGTTAGACTTTCTTCCCTTATCTTGTCGAAACTCTCGCTAATAGGTCACAGCCTATCACGCCGTCCAGTCAGCTTCTGCCCGTTTCGAGAAGGCTGGCTTCAAGCTCATCCGCGAGCGCGACTCGTGGGCTTCAACCCTTCGACCTGGCGGCAAATACTACCTTACTCGCAATGCATCCACTATCGTCGCCTTCACCATCGGCCGAAAGTGGCGTCCCGGCAACCCTGTCGCCATCGTTGGCGCTCATACCGATTCTCCTTGTCTTCGATTGAAGCCTGTTTCCAAGAAGACCAACGTTGGCTTCCTCCAGATCGGTGTCGAGACATATGGTGGTGGTATCTGGACCTCATGGTTCGATCGTGACTTGAGTATCGCTGGTCGTGTCTTGGTCAAGGAGGGTGACAACTTTGTACAGAAGCTTGTCAAGGTCGATAAGCCTCTGGTCCGAATTCCTACACTCGCCATCCACCTCCACCGACAGACGAACTTCGATCCCAACAAGGAAACCGAACTTTTCCCCATTGCCGGACTTGTCGCAGCTGAGTTGAACAAGGGTACCAAGGAGGAGAAGCCTGAGGAGAAGAAGGATGAAAGTGAGGATAACGAGGACTTCAAGCCTTTGAAGGTTAATACCGAGCGACACCACCCCCAGGTCCTCGACGTTATCGCAGCTGAGGCAGGAGTCGAGGTCTCCGCAATTGTAGACTTTGAGCTTGTGCTATATGACACGCAAAAGTCATGCATCGGTGGTCTTGCCGACGAGTTCATCTTCTCTCCTCGTCTTGACAACCTTGGCATGACGTACTGCTCAGTAGAGGGACTCATCGAGTCTGTCAAGGACGAGTCCTCGCTCGAGGATGACAGCACTATTCGCTTAACCGTCTGCTTTGATCATGAAGAGATTGGCTCTACATCCGCTCAGGGTGCTAACTCTAACCTACTGCCGTCTGTTATCCGCCGTCTTTCAGTCCTCCCAGGAAACCGGGATGCCTCTAGTGAGGGCAGCTACGAGGCTGTTCACCACGAGGGCGAGGAGGCTACAGCATACGAACAGACTCTATCACGATCATTCCTCGTATCCGCTGACATGGCCCACTCTGTGCACCCTAACTACGCCGGCAAATACGAGTCGTCGCATCAGCCAGCCATGAACGGTGGTACCGTGGTCAAGATTAACGCCAACCAGCGATATGCCACCAATTCGCCAGGAATTGTTCTTATTGAGGAGTGCGCTCGTACAGCCGGCGTTCCCCTTCAGCTGTTTGTTGTTCGTAACGACTCGCCCTGCGGTAGCACAATTGGCCCTGGTCTTGCTGCTGCTCTGGGTATGCGAACCCTGGATCTCGGTAACCCGCAGCTCAGCATGCACAGCATTCGTGAGACGGGAGGTACTGCAGACGTCGGTTACGGTATCCGGCTATTTAAGGAGTTCTTTGAGAAGTATGGATCTTTGGAGCCCAAGATCCTCATTGATTAAGCTTTTAGCTTTCGGAAGTGGAGTTATGATGATGACGCATGATGTCAGTCGGAGTTGAGCGTGGGTGCATGAAACGTCAGGCGACATATAACGCCCGTGAGTTGAACATAGTACTATACATAAGTAGTTTTACATGTGTCTTGAATATACAAGTCAATGAGTTTCAGCTGATCTGTCATCAAATATAACCATATATGCAATGGACATAGATAGACATATCCAGACATTGCCAACCCCGATCTTGATGCCTTTGTAACTCCATTATAACGCCGTGGGATATCTCTGGTGATTCATATCCAGAAGAGAACATCGTGATGCCTCACTACCGTCCATGATCGTGAACAAACATTGCCTTCCTAGCAAATCCTCCCGGTGCTTTGTATCCTCGCTCGATCCATACGCTCCGCCCATGAAATACGAATGCCATAAAAAGAACTCCTCAACACCATCCCATCTTTCCCTTTTTTGGTATCTTTGTATCTTAATTAAATTGGTCCTCATCCTCTGAAGGCATGATCTCCGTCTGCTGAGAGTCTATCGAGTCTCGCCGACTTCTTGTCTCGACTGCTTCCACTTCCTCTTGGGTGTCAGGCATAGCAGGGGTTTCTTCGGGACTCTGCACGCGGACGACACGCGGGGATTCGCGGGGCATCGGTCGTTGTTGGAGTTCGGAGAGGGGCACGGTCGTTTGGCCTGTGCGGACTTTGTAGTTGGCGAGCGATAGGCGAAGACGAAGGGTTTCTGCTCTCTGTTTCGTTTGTTAGTGAGTGATTCATGTAATTCGGGAGGGTTGGAAGAGGACTCACTTGTCTTATTTGCTGGCGTGTTAGTGTTGTACGTTGAGGTGTGGTTTGTTCTGTCGTTGTGGGAGCTGCAGTAGCTGTATCATGGTCGTCTGTGGTGGTGGCCCATGATGCGTCGTTGGCAGACGTGTCGAAGACGGAGCTCACGTCAGGACTGGCACTTCTCTCAGACGCGTCCTGCACAATTGAAGTCAGTAAGGTATTCCTTTGCATCCCATGATAGCTTTGTGTTGTAGTATAGAAACACATACCTCATCACGTCCCAGACACGCCTTCTTGGCTGCCGGCGCGCTACCCTCGATATCGAGCAGCCTTTTTCTGCCCTCAATAGCCATCTTGACAGGACTGTGACCCAATGTAGGCTTAAACAAGTTCTTCGGTGTACCAAGCGCGTTGGCATCCAATGGAGCGAGCGCGCGTCGCTTTGCAGGTGAGGAAGTAGATGATGATGTCGTCGAAGGCTCCATTGCCTTTTTGTGTGTCCGTTATATAAACGTGGTTACCGAAACAGGAATGATTAGATAATTAAACTCAAAAAGACATGAACAAAAGTGCTCGCGTCTTTGGAGGAAAGAAGGAAGGAAAGCGTCTTTGTGCCGTTGCGTGTTGAAGTATAGCGTGTTAGTGGAAACAGGAAACGTTGGATGGGAAAGTAAAGTGGTGGTTTTGTCTAAAGGGACGCGGGCGATAAGATAAGGTGGGGGAGTAGATTTTGGACGTGGGCGTTTTCCAGATGATTGGAGAAGACCATCTTAGTAGATGGGCGACCTTCCTGGTCAACCAGACACGACAACAAATAATATAAATATGAGAAAGAGGAAATCTATCAACAGTTTGAAACGCACTATTTTATGATTGTGTTCTTCCATATCATCGATGATCAATTTCTTCAGCTCTTCTCACTACCATTCTTCTCATCATGACCAGCAAGACACCCCTCCTCTAAAGCGACGCCAATTAATACGCCCTTCACCCGTCACGTCCATGACCCTAACCCGCGAACCTCTTTACCTACACGGTCGCGCTCTATATCCTTGTCGTCGACCCCAGCCAACCTCGCCCATTTCTATTTACTAATTCCCGTTTCGAGACTAGCGCTCCTTATGTAATCTTCTCCGGCCCGTCAACAGATGCAGACAATCGCGTGCCCGTGTCGGAGGGTCTTTAATCTAACCGCAACCGATTTAGTACTTCCGGGGAGGCGCGTGCCGAAGTGGAGCTGAATTTCCCGTCACGGCCCGGATGCAGGAACGGGAAGTCGGTCGCCGTATTAAGTTAATGTCCATTATAGATATTTTGAAGCACATCACATCCATCACATGGTATTGAGTAACTGCGATGTAGCAAAATGCTGGGTATCATTTGCTCTGAGCCCATGTCTATGGAGCTCAGGAACTCCGACCGGTAATGCAGGACAAAGTTAAACTGGACTAAATCCTCAACGCGCCTCCAAACTATCATCAAACAAGCCATAATGCATTACAAACATTGCCTCCTTCCATGGAACAGAACTCCCGTACACCTTCTGCCGAATCGCCTCCTGACTGCCATCCTTGGTTTAGAACAAAGCGCCTGCCATGATGTTTTCAACCCCTTCCACCTTTTACTGCCGATTGTTTGTCCCGCGCGTCCTATAAGTACTTTCCAAAACGAAGAAAAAATGTAAGTTGCAACTTCTAAAGAAGAAGATTGACGAGATAATAAAATAACGAAAATATGCCGCTGCTTGGGCTTAGCAGGGCATTCCAATTACTAGCCCGGTTGTGTTCTAAAAGAACAGGCTTGGTTTGTTTGCCTGTTATCCAATGCCGTTCAACGGCCTGAAAATTATGAAGTAGCCATGTAGTAATGCTGGCTACTATCAAACTGGAAGGGTTTTGAGAAGTCTATCTTGACATCGTCCCAGTCCGGTTCTTGTAGTGATGGCTGATCGAATAGCAATGCGGCATCCGCAGCTAGCATGTCGTTGACACCACCACCATTGGTGCTGCCCATGTTGAGCAATAGATCAGTATCCACGTTGTGCCAATCAAAATTGACTTCGAGACTTGTGCCTTCGGGAATATCACTGTTGGGCTCGCTGCTGCCACCATCCTTGGCAGACTCGGGAGTATCCCTGGGTGTCAGGTAGCTGAGAGCGTTGTAGTCATAAAAGGGATTTTCGTAGACTCCATATCCGCGCTCGACTCCGAGGTTGCTGACGAGCATTTCAGGGTCGAGAGTGACGTTGGCCCATGGATCAGTAGCAACATTGTCAGCAACCTTGGCATCAGCCTGTTTGGGGGTCGCTCCAGCCTTAGCACCAGCTTTGCTGTCTTGAGGTTTGCCCATACTGCTAGCCGATCGCTTCATGTTGCCGTCAGTGGACACTGGAGTAGCAGCCATAGTGATAGGCGTTTGCCCTTGCTTGGAGTTCGTAACGCTCATTGCAGCAGCCTCAGCTTTCTTGACTGAACCATCGGGCTCAAGTCCCAAGGCCAGAGCCAAGTTCTCTGAAACAAATTTCATAGGGTCCTCCCGTGGCTTGGTGTGCTCTTCAAGGATATGCTGCTGAAGAGCTTGCTCGGTGCTGTAGCCAGTTGTCGAAAACTCGCACTCAGGCTCCTTGCAAGTGAGGACTGGCCTGGAGGGAAGTTGGGTCTCGGACGGTCTTCGGACATCAGGAGACGCCTTATTTCCGGCTTTGGGCGAGGGAGTAGCACCCTGTGGTGCGCCGTTGGGCTTCGGCTTCTTGCGGGATGGTGGCATACGAAGATCGATCGGTTTGGGCTCGCCAGGGTAGGTTGGGTTTCCACGAGGAGACGAGGCGGCGCCAAACTGGAAGGGCGGCTGAGAGGTCGTAGGAGCTGCCGGTGCCTGCGAGCCCTTGTTACCTCCCTTGGGAGCTTGAGCATGTGAGTTCCTGCGAGCAGTTTCGGCCAAAGAAGCAGGCTGTCCTGGTTGCCCTTGAACTGGCTGCTGCCGAGGTTGGTTCGGCGGTTGCTGGAACGCTGGCTGCTGTGATGGAGCAGGCTGTGCGTTCTGTTGTTGCGGTGTGGTTTGCGGCTTACGGTTCATATACATACTGTGAGCTATGTCCTTGGCCATAGTCTCAAGCATGGCTCGGGCGTTGTCGATCTCGGCGGAATCAATCGAGAATGCGTTCTTGAGAACAGACATCTTTTCTCCATCGGCAAACTGTTTCAGGATTCTCCATCGCTGGGTAAAGTCAGTACGTGCTGGTTGATTAAAGCCTGGATATCAACTTACCATGCGGAAGAACATCTTTGCGCGTGCGTCATCGCGGGTGATGTTGTACCACTTCGTCAAGCCACGGCCAATCTTGGTCATGTCCACCACAATCTTGGTGAGCTTAGCGGCCATCTCGTTGTGCTCCTCTTGAGTCATAGGAATATCGTTCATGACCTCCTGTATCGACTTCCGTTGTTCCTCCTGTCCGAGGGCCTTAAGGCGTGCCATGGTCTCATTGCCAGCCTGTGGTGGTATTGTACCAGCCTTGCTCATCTGCGCTCTTAGTATCTGAGCGCGTTGCTCAGGGGGCAGCGAAGCAAGATCCTGGGGGTTCATCGGCTTGGGACCTTGGGACTGCTGCTGTTGATCAGGCTGCGATGCAGGTCTCGCAGGTATTTGCTTTGCGGGTTCCGGCACATCGATGCTGTCGTCGTTGCTTGGGCGCTTGAGATTCTTTGGTGCGGCTGCGGGAGACGGGTTAGGAGGTTGAGCACGGTTGTTGGCAGGTTGAGGTCTGGCGTTTCTTGTCTGCTCGGGAGTAACAGTCGGTTGTTTCTGGGCCGCTTGTTGAGGAGTAGCATTCTGGCCCATCGCGTTTGGCGGTGGGACATTCTGAGTCTGAGGCGTCTGGTTTGGCTGAGGCGGTTGCTGGAGCTGCATCGTGGCTTGTGGTACGGGCATCTGGTTCGGCCCTTGCTGACCCGGGTTCTGGTTACGGGCCGCATGAGCCTGTGCCTGGGCCTGCTGCATCCTTTGTTGTTGCTGCATCCAGGTGTGCTTCTTCATCTGAATTACTATGGCACGCAACTGGTCATCGGAAGCGTTTTGTAACTGAGGCTTTTGGGCTCTGACCTGCGCCATCTCATGGGCAGTAGCCTGGAGAATATGAGGGGGGAAGTTTCCTTGCATCTGTGGCCGAGCTCCCTGCATAGGAGGTGGACCATGTCCAGCTGCAGCCTGCATGCCTGGATTAGCAGCATTTGGGCCGAGTTGTTGCGGCTGCTGAGGCTGCTGGGGTTGCTGCTGAGGCGAGAACTGTGGCCCTGGTTGCTGCCCTTGTGGTTGCTGAGGCTGCTGTTGCGGCATCATACGCCGTTGAAGGATAAGTTGGAACTGCTTCTGCTGGATCGCTGCCAACTGATTCCGCATATGCTGGGTGTTGTTGTTCTGCTGGAGCCATAGCTTGAGCGGTCCCCATTTCTTGATCTCAGGAGGAATTTGGCCTTGGAGCTGCGTGGCAACTTGAGGTGGGAGGTCCATGGAGTCCATCATGGCCAATTGCTGGTTCGGGTTGAAGCGAGGCATTTGCCCTTGTTGCTGGTTGCCATTCATTGGCACACCTCCCTGTGGCTGTTGCATACCGACTGGCACTTGCCCACCCATGTTAGGGTTCATTTGGGCCATCTGGCTGGGAGGGCGATTAGACATTTGCCCAGGAGTGTTTTGTCCGCCGTTCTGGCTGATCTGCTCCTGGCGCTTGCTTTGCCAGCGCTGCATGACTTCATTCAGCTTGTCTGGGGTCAGCCCGCTGACCATTGCACGTTGTTCTTGGGGAAGACTTGCAAGCATGTTCTGGAAGGTCTGGTTGTTAGGTCGCTGCGCTCCTTGATTGAAACGCTGGTCTCCAAACTGTACCCCGCCCTGGCTTGCAGCCTGGTTCATGTTCCCTGGCCGAGAAACCGGCGTGTTGAGTGTGTTCATGCCGGGGCTTTGGGAAGGCTGCATGTTGCCTCCCATGCCGGTTTGATTTTGCATCTGCTTCATTTGCTGGGCCTGAAGTTGTGCTTGGGACTGTTGTGCAGCTTGATTCATCTTCATTTGCTGAAGGTTCATGTTTTGGTGCGGCTGTTGCTGCTGCCCTTGTTGCTGGGGTGGCCGGGGACCTTGGTTCGGGCCTGGTTGATTCGCTGCGTTCTGTCCGGTCGGCTGTGGCGTTGGGTTTCGGTTTTGTCCTGCGCTGGCAGGTACTACCATCTGCCCAGCTTGTTGAGCCATAAGGCCGTTCATTTGTTGGTCCTTAATGCTGTCCATATTGGGCGCAAAAGACGTGAACTCGTTGTTGCCTTGATTATTGTTCGCCATGCCGTGCTGCTGCTGCTGCCCTTGTTGTTGTTGCTGCTGCTGAAGTTGAGCCTGCTGTTGGCGTAGAGACTGCTGGCTTGCTTGCTGCTGCATCATTGGAGCCTGGTTATTATTGGCATTCTGTGCCATCCCTTGTTGTGGCTGACCCTGCTGTTGCTGTTGTTGTTGTATCCTATTCATGTTCGCTTTGAGAACCTGGAACGCTTGGTTCTGATAGAACCACATCAGAGGATCCTTGCCCTGGTTGGTCATTTCCTGCAATTGTGCAGGAGAGATTCTAGATTGCAACTGCAAGCGCGTATTGTTCTTTTGTTGTTCCGAGGCAGTGTTGAACATCTTTGTGGCAAGCTCAGTCACCTTGAGCTTGTCTTGCTGCGAAAGTCTGGCCATGTCTTGGGGGAACTGTGATTGTTGAGGGCGATTTTGCCCCGCAGGCATTCCGACCATCTGCTGGCCTGGGCCCATACCGCGGCCAGCTTGGTTTGCCATACCCATACCCATATTCATGCCCGCATTCATGGGCATCTGCTGTTGTCCTTGACCCATTTGAACGCCTTGCATTGGGTGTTGCATGGGCTGGAATCCTTGCTGGGGACCTTGACCCATACCACGTCCCATTTGCATGTTCATCATCGCTTGTGCTTGGGCTTGAGCCTGTGCCTGTGCGCTTGCGTTGATGTTATTCTGGAGGTTAGGCTCATTGGCCTGCCGCCGTTTAAAGAACTCCATGATCTTTTGGCCCATCTCTTGATCGTAGGCTTCCTAAAGGACTGTCAGCATATCGTGTAGAGGATAGTCAAGGATCCCAAAGTTCCACATACCTTTGTCGGGGACTTGTGAAAGGCTTCACGTTCAAAGTTACAACCCCACTCGGCACCTTTCATATAATCGCCTCCGTTCATCGCAAGAGAGATGTTGGTGATCCTGTGAAGGTTAGCGAGGCTCTAAATAAAGATAGTTTTTGGTGGGGCATACAGGTTCATCGTTTTGCCCATGCGATCTGAGATTGCTACATTTGACTGCCAACATCCTCCCGTAAATGGCTGTGTGTGTTGGACTAAGTTCTGGTAAACTATTTGTTGTAATTGGTTGGGGGTTGGCTTTCGCATCGGCTGCTGCGGCATCATCTGGCCGGCCCCAGCCATGTGCTGCATATTGGCCGCCATGGCCTTGAAAGATAACGGGACACGTCCCAGTCTAATGAAGACCTGATGACTCTAATAAGATAGGTTGTCGTTTGATAAGGTGTTGCAAAAGTCGAACAGTGTATAGCCTGTTGGAGTCGACCAAGTCTCTAAGATAAATAAACGTAGTCGAGCGGGTGGATGTCAAGGCCAGGTCCGAATAAGGCTTTGCTGTCGACGAACGAGGCGGAGCTTGCGTCAAAGATGCCTATGAAAACACAGGGCGGTCCATAAAAAGGCGGTCGTTGTGCTACGAGGCAGCCAGGACTTGAAAATACCAATAAATAATTGGCTGCGCGTATCCGAACGTGCCCGAGTTTGAATATGGCTGTCTATCTTGTTGAGGAGCGCGGCGCCAGTTGTGCGGCAAGATTTCAACTTTGTGACGTCGCGAAGGGGATTCGTTGCGATGGTTGTCGAGAGGAGTTCCGCCGTTTGAGGATGTTCGCCAACGGTACGAGAAACAAAGACAATGGAAGACTTCCAGTTGCAGTCGTGATTCAGACAGTTGGGTCGGTGTCGTCGAGACTGGCAAGCGTTGCAAAGTTCTAACCGGTCGAAGAGACGATGGAGGGTGATAGACTCGCGATCGTGCGTGTGCGTACTGTATGTGACTGGTGGTGACGGATACAAAACTTATTAACTAACAAAAAAGGTTGAATTGAAAAAAAGAGTCGCTAGTCGTCAAACAGACACCTTGGTGATGTTTCCCGTCAAAGAAGAAAAAAGGTGAGAGAACATCAAACCCAGAGTAGGGCGGTCGGTGCTGGGAAGAACGACGGACGTTGGTGTTGTTTTGGTGAAAAGGTCGCAAGCGCCTTGGGTTGGGGGTTCCAAGGTGTAGTCTAATGGGCTGTGGAATTTTGGCGGCGACGGGAAGGCAGGCACCCTACCTCTCTACGCTGTCTTGACCCTGGCCATGTACCTGATACTTTGACACCCTCCACTCTGCAATCTGCTGTAATAGGCTGGGAGAGCTAGCTAAGGTGGGCGCAAACTACATGGGTCTTGGGTCTTCGGGGGGGGCACAAGGGTCAGGGCGACTGCCGAGTTGGAGCATTCACATTTTTGGTGGAGAGTTGAGGAGGAAGAGCAAGTCATTTCAAGATGGGGGAGGAGGGAGAATGACGATGTTGGTTTATTGATCTCGATCTTTCATGATGCCATCGGTAATTCTAGGAAACTCGATATCTTTTAATTACTTTCTCTTTTCCATGCAGAAATTAGAGACAGCCAACGTGTGACGGGCGGACAATTAAAGAGGGCTCTCTCTCATCACCGGATGACTGAGAAGTGAGGATTGATCCAACCAGGCCAGCATCAAGGGACCTGTGACGACTTGACTCTCCCTCGGCACTGTAAAAGTGTAGATCCAGGCACGAGCCCAGTCACATACAGTACCAACTCAACCGTCCAAACTTTAAACCCCAAGTTCAAGTCGTCAAGCCCTGTATTTCTCAGTTAATCCCCTGCCGTCCGGTCAACAATTGTTTCAAACATTTTGTTCACTCTTCCTCTGTCAATTCGAGAGGAGCTCACCACGTCGACAAGCAAGTCCTTGGAACTTCCAAGGTCATGGTGGATAAGGCAGAGTCGCACTAGAGCCAAGAAGAGTCGGACGGGGCATGAACAAGCGTCGGCAGGGCGCCTGGGCCTGAGCCTAGAGGCAGGCTAGCCCGATATTGGTCTGGTTCATTTGGTGGACGGTACAGAGTACACCGTCTTGTCTCTCTCCCGTCCGTCAAAGAACCCTGAAGCTGGTACTTTTACTGCCCTGAACTGAACTGAACTGAACTGAAGTGTCCAGCGGGCTGTCTGTTTGTCTGTCTGTCACTGAGCATCCATCTCATCGCAGGTTGATCTCTTCAGGTACGTAACCATACCGCTATATGAATCAATCTGCTTGATCCTTGTATACACAGCCACTTCTTCAGCTGTCTGCTGCACATCTTGACACCTCAGCCTAGTAGACCTACGTACTGTTCTTCAACGTCTGGCTGTTTGTGTTTCTTATTCCTCTACTTCTGTTTCGTGCACTATTAGCCCAGTGTGGCATGTAGGTTTTTTCCCTTATCCTGTGGCGACCCCTCCCAGCCCAGGTCCCCTCCTTGCTGCCATACCCATGCCCAAGCCCATGGATATCAAAGTTGAGGCGGTGGCCGCATGAGCTACTGGGCGTCTATCCGTCCGTCGTTGGACGGCCGCTAACTCGAATCGTTTCTGTCCCGCTCATGTATGTACAGACGGGTCGGGTACGGTACCTAACTTATCTTTACCAGCTTCAATATTGCTGCGCTGTATCTGTATCTATCTCAGAGTACTCTGTACTGTACGGTACGGATGTCAAGTCGCGTCTGGGTTTCGGCGACAGCTGAAACAAGAGGGACCGAACATCATCAGAATGTCAAACCCGTGCACGGCTAGCAAGGAACGGAAATAGACAGAGCGCGTCAACGGGGATCGACCAGAGAGAAAAGACAAGCAGAAACAAGAAAGAAACAGACGCTAACTAGCACTGTCAATCAAGCACTATCCAGAGCAGAGCGCACATTTACGTTGATATCTCGATTCACTTCATTTCATTTCCATACCTCGACCTTGGCTCATTTCTGAGGATCGACCTGATATCGAACAAAGCTGGCGTTGCACGATACCTGGTATGTATCCAGGATGCAGCGCAAATCAGTGGGGTAGCTTTCCTGTCAGTTTTGAAAGGAAGATCAGACAAGACACAAAGAAGCGTCGTCCATCTATGGACAGATCCAAGAGAATTAATAGAAAAAGCCAAGTCTCCAAGAGTCCCAAGTCCTTGAGGGAAAGCATTGGAGACAAAGGTGACACGCTTGCACGACAAAGAAGCAGACTTGGGAAGTCGACTACCGTTTCATTGGCTGGAGTCCCACCCGTCATAATAATGAGTCGAGTCGGAGAGCAAGACAGAGAGAGGAAAAATGAATGAGGGCGACAGAGCTGGTTGTTTGAAAGGGCCCCTCATCCCTGTTTCCCCTAGTCTGGTTGGGGAAGAGAGAGAGGACACCAGGACACACTATGGTACCAGGTACTTTGAGGGCGCGCAAGCATGGTCAAGGGCTTCTATTTGTGCTTCCATCGAAGCAAGATTGGCCCAGTTTCTACCAACGCACACTACAATCGTGTTCTCTTGCGTGGTCAATTAATGATTCGCAGTTCCAACGGTTCAGTTCAACTGCCGTTGTCAATTCATTTGCTTATTGATCAGGCGGCAGCGAAGCGTGAATGCCTGAGTGCATTTGAAAATGCAGGGTAGAGGCGGCCCTCCCGGTTCATCCATGTACAGTACCGTACAGTACTGTACTGGAGGGAGAGCGCATTCTGATTGTGTGGTGGTAGATGATGGTGGGCTGTCAGTCATTGAGTGACCTACCTTGCAAGGCTCGCGGATCATCCGTCACCTCAGCAGGACATGGTGCCATTCCTTGTCAAGCTGGAGAGGCAATGCACCTGAAGTTTGCCTCTTACAATGACAGAGTTGCTGATGAGGTTGAAAAGGACAAGGACAATTGAAGACGTATTTACCGTGATTAGTTAACGAGATCTGAAGGGGAAGCAGAGATTCGGCGACGGGGGTCAAGTGAACCGGAACAGGGTTAAAGAGTTAGCAAAGTCAAGGGATCTTGGAGTCCCATCTTGAGTCTCCACCTCATCAACGACCTCGACGACACACCGTCAAAAGACATGTTCCAGTGCGAAACATGGAGATGAATCTCGAGATATACAACAAACCCCTATTGTTATTGTTGAAGAGAAGGCGAATTGTATCGTATGTTGAGACGACCTATGTCAGGCTGCAGCTGTACAATAGAAATAGGTAGTTCCTTGGAAGAGGTTGGATGGATGCGGAGATGCCACGAGGCCTGGGATGTCATCGTCACACACACTCACTTTCACTCACTCACACCGGGCAGTGACTGACTGACTGACTGATCGTGGATATCAGCAAGTAATAACTCTCTATTGCATTATCGTATCCGCTGGTTTGTTTAACAATCGGTTTCAATGCTGCATCTTGATAACTATAAAAAGAATACATACTTTAGAGTAAGTGCATCTTAATGAACTTGATCTGTTCTTCCCGCCCTTTGGCTTTGGCTGTGTCTCTGGCCGCCTCACCAGGCAAAGCATGGTCCTTGGTTCTGCATCTCCCATCTCCATCATGCCCCATCCCTGTCCTCTCAAACACCCCTGCAACACTCTCCTCTCCATCTTGGAGGACCCCCGTCTCGTCCGCTCACACCTTTTTCCCTTTCTAGACACGTTCAGGAAACGGTTGCAAGTATCGAAGGACTAGAGTAGTCTGCGCGTGATTCTTCTTTTTTTCTTCAGGTGGTAGATTAATCGTCGATTGATTGTATATCTATTGTACTCAAACGCCATAACAGCCCTATCAAGCCGCAATTGCACTTATCATAAAAGATAACTGACCTGCACCTGAAGGAACAAGAACAAGACCCCCTTGTCTCAACGCCGTCAGTCCAACTTGGAGAAAAAAAAAAGACAGGCTTGGACTACAGTGGTTAGTGCCAATGCTGCCACCGCATTAGCTCCAGGTCGATTGGCCATGAAGAAAATCAGGGCCCTCCTGCTTCTGCTTTTATCGCGGCCTGGGCTGGGCTGGGCTCTGTGGTTAATTATGCGATGCACATCATGCCTTGCCTATGCCTGCCGGTAATGGATTGTATCAGAAATGCTGATGCTATTGTTACAGATGATAAGAATACCATGTCGATATTTTGGAGTATAGGGGATTGAAGGCCTATTCT